GGACACAAAAAGCAGCAGGCAGGGCCAGCACCACCCTGGGGGCTCTGGCTGGGGGTCTTGTCCTTGCCCTGCCACCATGGTGGGATGCTGCTGCCTGGCAGTGGCACTGAGCTGCTCCTGCCTGATCACAAGCTGCCCCTGTTTTACCTTTCCTAAGAGCAAGGGTGTTCACCCGTGTGCCTGCCCTGATTTCCAGTCTGGGGAATTATGTTTGCTCCATGAGCTTCCTCCTGCTGCTTCAGGTATTTGGACTATTTGACTTCACAGCTCCAGGACTGCTCCGTGCTGGGGGGGCTGTGTTTCAGGGCAGGCTGGAGCATTTCTCCCAAGCACACATTGCTTCTGCCAGGGATAATGCAAAAAAATCCCAATCCTCTTGACCCCAGCGGGATCAGGATTTAGGGTCTTGTTTCCTGGTTTTGCAAAACCTTATTTAAATTAAAAGTATTTACAGGAATAGTCTGGATCTAGCCAGCTGCAAATAGCCTTGGGAGTCTTTGCAATGAAAAGCATAATATAAACACAAGACATTATTATTAAAATGGAAGAATACATAATGCCTTTGTACTTTGGGACAGCAGAGGACCAGAGCAGAGGCAACATGAGAGGTAGTTAAGGCATAACAGGATGAAACAGATGTAAACTAATAAAAGAAGGATTCAAAGTGTCTAACCATTTTCAGGTAGTTAAATAAGAAAAAGTATAAGTATTATTTAAAAATAAAGAGTAAAAGAATATTCCTGTTAACTGACATCTGGGTACCTGGCTTAGCTTGTTGAAATACCAGCAGATCCACGATGCAGCAAGTTTATGGTTTCAGTGAGGATCATTCCCTCTTCCATCCCCCTTCCTCTTCTATATATTCTGTTATTTTAATTCAAGAAATAAAAGAAGGGCTAAGAAACTTCCATGATATGTGGAGGGATCCCAAGCTGTGCTGCTGGTAAGTGAACTGCCACACCCAGAGGGTCACTTCTCTCCTTGTGTCTGTTTTTCAGGGAGTTTTGCCACGCTTGGCTATAAAGGACAAGCCAAACCACCCTGGATTAAGGTCTTTAATCATGCTACTTATCAGAAAGCTGCTTCTCTACAGCTTTATGTTCAATATCAATGTCCTGATAATACTGTTGAATAGCTAAAATTTGCTTTTTCTCAGAGCTGCTTGGAGCACATGCCTGCAAAGGCTGGGGTGCCCCGGGGTTAGCACTGCTGGGGAGCACCAGCCAGGCAGAGCCCAGCACCAGCACCACCAAAACTGCTGTTCTCACAAGATTGTACCAAACCCATGGTGTTCGCTTGTATATTTTATAACCAATAAATACATTCTCACCTTTCCCTCTTGGTAGAGCTTTATTTTTCAACCAGTGCCTTACAGAGCAGAACAGGAGCAGTCTGTGGGCTGCCCTTCCCCGGGGGAAGTGTTTCAACATATCTGTGATTTGTATCAAAAGGTAAGTTTTAAAGGCAAGAGCTGCTCTGGGGTAACTGTGGGACTACAAATAAAATTTGTCGTGGAAATTTAGCAATTCCAGGAAAACGTGAACTTAAGCAAAGGTAGGGAATTCTCCCTTCATTCCTGCTTTTATCCATTAATGTCTGCTTTTTTTTAAAAAAGTGTCCATCTGCTGTGGCACCTTAGGTGAACTCAGCAACATCTGCTTGGTCAGTGTGCAGTGATCTTGTGACAGTGTCTTCCCATCAGACTGAGCACAGAGCACAACAAGGAATTATAAATGTGTTTCTGTCTGAAGCTAATGACTAGTCAAATGATGTTTGTCTAACTGATGTGAACATTTAATTAAAGACTGACAGGAATAAAACCCAGGATAAAGTATGTGCTGCTTTGGATAAAGTCTTGTGTTCCTTTCAGGCAATGCTCATATCAACTTTCAGTTCCCATTGAGGATTGAAATATTGTCAGTATTAGTGGCTAATTCTCTTTGCTTTATGTTTATGCTGCAGCTGTTTGAAGTAAAGACAAAAATAGAGATTTATATGCAAAGTGAGAAAAAACTGATGACCTCACTGACTGCAGTTAAGCACAAAGTGACCCTGAAATGATGAAAGAGTCACTTGGGTTTGAACATGATGCTACTTGGTGACAACACCAAGGTTATATTGTGAAGGGACAGGTGACTTCAGATCATCCCTGCCATTGAATAACATGGGCTGTTCAAACAGGCAGGTGAAGGTTTTGCAACTGATGTCCTGTTGTGTCTTTGGAATTCTCAGAAATGGCCAAACAAGTTGCTCCAGGGAAAGATCAGTGTTTTGTTGGCCAGACTTTTGCTCCCTGGTGAGCGAGTTGCTCTGGCATCCACGTCCTGGCCAGCTGACATTGCCTCTGCATGGGGACTGAATGCCTTGGATGGGACACCTGCCTCCACCAGACCCATTGTGGCCCGGGTCCTTGGATGTGGTGTCACAGGACACCCAGAAGGTTTACAGGCAGAAAAGGAGGCTGTGGCTCCATCCCCATACCAGGTAGGAGAGGTGAGACCCAGGTTTGGCTGGGGAAGAGGTCCTGGCTTGCCAGAAAGTGTGAAGAAATCAGTGATGCTGCTTAGTAAAGGTAAGAAAAATCATGATGCACGGGACATCATGGGGATGAGAATTGGTACAACAGCCTGAGCAGCTGGAAATGACCCTCTAGGGAGACCCCTGAAGTCCTTTTGAACTCCTATTAATACCTAATTGTTATGATTTCTGATGCTGCACAGGGGGAAAAAAGCAAGATGTTTTTGGCTCATAAGCATAAGCCCAGCATTGGAACAAGTACTTACAGAGCAAGCTTTTAACTTCTTGGAGATTTATTTGATAATCTGTGACATGTCCAGACCCTGGATCCCAATAAAACTTTGCAGAGCTCTAACCCCAGGCAGAGACTAAACAATTGGCAAAGGAAGAGCCTGGTGAAGGAAGGAGAGGAATGTGCCTAAACCTCTGAAAAATCTCTATTCCTCCTCCCGCCCCAGAAGGAGAGCAAATGGCAAATGTCCTGGAGAGGAAGGCGTGGAGTCGTGGCGAGCCAGATGCAAACAGTGAAGTACCACAAAAGCAAAAAGAAAAATATTTACATCCTGATGCAGTTATTTGGGTAGTTAAAAGCAGCAGTTTGAAGAGGATTCAGGATGCTGTGATCCTCTTCAGCCACAGCACTCGCTTTCCTTACCTTGGGAGGGAAAAGAGCCCTCTAACCAGGGACACTGCAGAGGGAACAGTTCCTCCAGGGACTGCTGGGACACTCAAGGGATGTTTGCAAAGGCTGCTGCTAACTTGGCATGCACCAGGAGCCTGTGTGCATGAAGCTGTGGGGTAAGTGCTGCCTGGGTGTTGTGTTTGGAGGAAGCTGCCCTGCTCCTTCTGGGCATTTCCTGAGGATATCCACCCCATGCTGGAGTCCACAGGGACTGCACATGTCCTCGTGGATTTGCAGCTAATCCAGGTATGTCCAGCACATCCCATGCATTCAGGGTGTGTGGCCATTCTGGTCATCCCCAGAGCATCTTTGCAGTGGCTCTGGCACCCCCTGGAAGCACCAGCCTGGCTGGCACAGGCTCAGCAGAGTCAGGGCAAACGGGGCTCAGCTTGCCACTGCTCTGGTGCTTTGAAAACTCCACGTGGTGGAGGAGGGTTTAATTCAGTGAAATGCTGAGCACTTCGAAAGCATGTGAGATTGGGAGTCAGCCTCGGATGGGTGGAGTGATGGGAATTGCATATGATTTTGCTTAAACAGAGCCAAAAATTGCTTCCTTTCCTCTTCAAAGTCTGTAAGCCTCTGAAAAAAAAAAAAAAAGGAAGAAAAAAAAGAAAAAAGTAAACTCTTCAAAAAAGCATAGCTTTAAACCTCCAACTTTTCCCCTTTTATTTCTGTGTCAAAATAGTTTGCCTATATTACAACAAATTTGTAAACATCTTAGTTTTCTTTAATTTATTCATTGCAAAAAATTTCCTCTTAACTCCTGCTCCTCATTGAGAATCTTTTTTTGTGGACATCAGGAACCAAGGAACTTGCAGTGATGTTTATACAGAATATGTAAGCAGAACCTTCTCATTGGGAAAGTTATTAGATAAATTTATAAGAAACCAAGGTTCACTGGGAAAACAGTCAGAATGTTGCTTTTGACTCCAGTATTGATTCATTGAGAATTAAAGTCTGTTCCTGAGTTTAATCCTCCTCCTCTTGCTAGTAAAAACGAGCAGCTGATGTGTGGGTGGCAAGAACCAGAAAAAGATGTGGAGCAGAGGCAGCTATGCTGCTGCTATGTGCTGGGACTGAACAGCATTTCCATTAGCAATCCCCAGAAATTCGTGTGTTTATTTTCTGAAGGCTTTAGCTGTGCCTGTGGCTGGGTGTGTGAAAATCTCCTCTGTGTGTCACTGTAGCAAGGGCTGGCATGTTCTCAGGTCAGAAAAGCAAACGTGCACCTCAAATCCATCTTCCCAGCCGGGGCTAAAATGCAGAATTCCATGAAGAGGGCGAGGGGAGCTGCTGCCATGCAATGTCAGCAAGAAGGGAGCAGAGGCGTTAATTAAACAGCTCCTCCCTCTCTCAGGATCAAATCCAAATCGATGTTGGCCTCTCTGCATATGCATGAGGAAAGATGCAGCAAGGCTTCAAGCTGCTGCAACCCCAGCACCAGCAGTGAATGTGGGAAGGGCTGGGCTTGGTGCCCCACTGACCCATCAGGGTCTGAGAGCATCTCCTGTGCAGAGGGCCCTGGGGAACAGAGGGTTTACCCACAGGTCATCCCAAGCACATGGGCAATTTAGTGTCTGCTGAGAGTTCACTCCCCATCAGGCTAAAAGGTGCCTTTTCCCGGTGAGCTTTGCCTGTTCTTTGTGGATGATGCTGGATCCCTGCTTTGCCCCCATGCAGGTTGGTGCTTTCTTTCACTGGGCAGTAGCAGCATGGTTTGCTGGCCCTGTTTGACATCTTTTTCAGGAGAGATCAGGTAGCTGCTGCTTTTTCCTTGTTTCATTTTTAATGTTTTTTTTTCTTGCCTCATTTTTAATGGGTTGTGAATGATCCCATTATGCTCTGCTTGACATACTGAAAGGAACTGTCTCCAGCAGATGCTGAAGGTACATCCTCCAAAGAGTGCCAAGCCAGTCTTAAATAGCACTTCTAAACACCCAGTATTGGGAGTAACTTTTAAAAATGTTGTTGCCAGGTTCAGGTGGTTGGTCCAGACTTGTGCAGGGGCCGAGTCACAGCGTGTCTTTCTGAATGACTGGTGGTTCCTCCTCCCTGGCCCTTCAGATTCAGGGTGTCTGTGTGACCCCACCATGACATCTGTGACAATCCAGCTTCCTCAGAGCATTTCTTCACTGTTTTGTTCTCAGAATTGTCCTCAGTGCTTCCAGCATTAAGCCCGTGGGAAGGGCAGTGGATAGGGATTCCTCTGCAGTTTGCTTTCTAGTACAGCATCGCTGCTGACACCTGTGGTAGCAGCCAGCTGAGGACTAATGGTTTCCTGCATCTACTTTTAGCATTGTCTGCTGCTATTGTTCACTTTTTGGAAAGGTTCAGCAGCTGGGAATAATTTCAGAGAGTCTGCCTTGCCAGATCCAAGGATATGAGTCCCACTTGCCATTGCCAGGCAGCTTTTAATGGCTAGATATAAAAGCTTTTCTCACCCAAGAGAGAAGTCCCAGATGGTATTTGAGAAAGGCTGGAGATGATAGGCTCAGGCAGTCACTTGCACGGCCCCTGTGCTCGAATCTGCAGGGAGATTTGTTGACACTGGTGGTTACATCAGAGCTGGAGTCGGCCGCGTGGCGCCCGTTCAAGGATGCGGCGTGTGCTGTATCCCCACGCGGCTCCCAGAGCTGAGTGAGGAAACGCTGCCTGGCAGGAGAGAGCTGCTCCTGAGCCTGCTCCAGCACCACACAGCCATCAGGGAGCCACTATCTCTTCCTCTTATACCGAACAATCAAACCAAACATGCCGCTGCTTGCGCCCGGTATTTGGGAGAGATGCTTAATTGAGAGGTTTAGAAGGAAAATTCCTGAGATTATCCTCCAAGCAGCATTTTTCCACCCCGGTGTTAGTCAGAGCTGAATCAGAGGAGTTGGATCCTCTTGGCTCCCAGCCTTTCCAACCCAAGTGCCAGTTAATACTAACACTGCAATGAACTCGGGCTCGGTGCGAGCCGAATCAAACACCCTACCTCAGTCACAAAATAAGCAGGATATTCTTTGGACTGTGGCAGATCAGACACTGCGAAAACATCGGAGCCCTGGCTCACAGCTGATGCCTCCGAAAATGACATGTCTTCCCAGTGTCTGATTGCTTGTTTTGATCTCTGCTGATGAAGATGGATGCAATCAGGGGAGCAGTCCCTGGTGAGCAACAGGGGATATAAAACCAGAAGCCATTTTGCACAAGCTGATGGTAAGTACTGTGCAGTTCTTGGCTCTAAAGAAAGCAAAGGCTGAGAAATTTCTTGATGTAGTTTCCTACCAGTTTGCTACAGGTTTGTGTCAGAGGTAAGGTCATGAGCTGGACAGAACAGAGATGCTCCTCTGAAGTTTTAATGGGCCAGAACAAAGACATTTCTTTGCTACCTACACAGCAATAGGAGAGCAAATGCATGCCACTGTCAAAAAACCAGTCCCTTCTTTTTATTGCTGTGAACTTTTATATCATCTGAGTGTATTTTATGACCAAGCCTCACCAGTTGGAATCTGGTGTGTGAAGCAGTAACACCCAGTTGTGTCCACACTCTGAGAAATGCTGTTTATCTGCAATGACCATCCTGTGGTATTACCTCTTGTTTAGTTCTTTCTCGATTGCTACAGCAGAGTCTAATGCCTGGCTCTGGAGATCAGGCTGTGTAATAATCACTAATAAATCTTGGCATTTTAATGGCGACTGCTGTACTTGGGGTGTACCTCTCATAATGTTTCTTTGAAAGAGCTCTGGCTTATCCAATGTTGATGGTTAATGCTGTTAAAATGTCAGACATGTGCAGCCTGGCTCTGGCACAAATTCCATGGTGACGGCCCTGCTCTCTGATAATGTATATCATTCAAAGTTATAGCGTTGCTAAGTGCATTCCTCTCTTCCACTGCTCTCTAACAACATTTCAGCACCTGATAGACTCTACCAAGCCCTGAGTCTATGCTGTTTCCAGAGCTCAGGGCTGTCAAATACACTATACCAAAGCAAACAAACATTTCCCTGGCAAAATATTTCCTGCAAAATCTGGGCCTAATGCTATTTTTAATGCAATCACTGGATTACATGTGTTTTGAGCCTATCATTGTACTTTGAGTTGTGTCACCTTTATGAGGAGTGCAGATGTGTTTCACATATACACTACAAAATTTGCTCCAGAATAAATCCTGGCTTCTTCCATTCTTTTTCTTGTGTTTTTGTTGTTGTTTAGCTTATATGAACAAGTGACATGAAAAATAACATGTGTTTTTGCCTTAAAAAATTGGGGTACCCTGGAATTGTTTTCAGTGCTTTCTTTTTGTGTTGAACTAAACTGTGTGATGCATACATTTATCTTGTTTCATCAGTGGGATGTGACACGACAGCTACAAATAAATGTCTTTGATATTCCCCAGACATTGGCTTATATGATAAAACCTAAAGACTCCAAAGACTACGTATGAATTTTAAACAGTGCCTTATGAATACAGAAGTGGGTGTCCTTGCCTCCCTGTGAATACACATGTCAATAAATTGTCATGAGCCCGGGGCAGAGCTGCAGAATCAATCACTGGAGACCAGAGAGAATCACATTAATTCTAACTTTGACTTTCATGACACTGCCTGTTTGTTTTTGCTGGGGGTTGGCTACAGAAGAAATGAAAACAACATTAGGTAGACTGGTTTCAAAAGCAGCTTTTGGTTTTGCAAGAAAATTCTGAGCTGGCACACTAAATAGACAATATTTTCTTAGATCTGAAATCTAAGAAACTGCATGCTTCAGGTTGGAAGTGTGAGTACAGTTTATCTGGGGGTACACAAAACACCATTGCTAAAAATGTGTGGGTATTTTGGGGAGAGAGAGGTGCTACGGAAAGGTTACTCTGTGAAAATCTGTCACTCTGCAAACGCCTTCTCTGTTGTGTTTCATTACTTTTTAGCACATGTGAATATGCAGCCCTAGAGAGTCCTGACACTGGATGTGTTTATGCCACATTCCTAAGGCGTTTTTGGTTACAGCTGGTGGCTGCTTTCTGAGTGTCTATTTGAATTCCCGAGTGGGTTTATCCCAAACCAAACAAAGGGTGAGGAGCTGCCCGTGGCTCCTTGCTCTGTTCAGGCTGGTCCTGAATCAGTGCAAAGGTGTTTTCAGCCCTTGAGCTGAACAGGAGTGGATGTGGTCTGGCATAAAGCTGGATTTAACCCTTTCTTTCCCCTTTTTTTTGGTGCAGTGAATGAACTGGGGAGAGAAAAAAAGTGACATTTTCTTGATATTCTTTTTTCACAGCTATCCATACAGAGAATTGAAAATCCTGAAGAATGGCTCTACCTACGTCCAAGTATCTGGCTGGAAGTTTGGGGTTTTTTCTGTTTGTAGTCTCTTCAGTAAGCACAGGTGAGTTTTCTTGCCATGGGGAAAAAGGGATATGGTTTGTAATGCTATTTTTAATACGACCAGCTTTTGACTCATTGTATAAAAAGAGTCAATGACAGAGAGAAAAAACTCAGGAGAAAAGCAGTTTTCTGGTGTGCCAATACTTCCAGTCAAAGGCAGCTGGAGTGGCAAAGACTGAAATTTCTGAGCAGGTGAAAATACCCTCAGCAATCCCTCAGACTCTGCCACACATTCTTAAACCAAACACGAACTTAATGAACTGCCACAAAGAAATAGCAAAAGAAACCTCAGGTCCTCATAACTGTGGCTGAGGGAGGTGAAGGCGAGCATTTTCCTGCATTCCTCAAGCCCAGATGTGGAGAGCAAAGAGCTCTGGCCTGACATCCCCGTCCCTTGGGTTTTGTTTCTTCCAAGCAGTTCTTTTACTAAGCAGTTTATGGAAGGGGAAAGGGGAGATTGATTTACATATTCTTTATACAGCTAATGTGGAGGTTTGTGTTTGTTTGAAACAAAGAGACCATATGTCTTGTCCCAAACACTGCAGCTGCATGAAGCAACCTCTCATTGTCAGGCTCAGGCCCTTTTGGTCAAGAAGCAAACATTCAGTTAATTCCTTGTGCTGGGTAGAATTTGCACTTTTATTTTAAAAATGACAATGAAAGTAATAATCAAGCTGTCAAGGTAACTGGACCAGCTGGCAGAAGATGCTCAGCCTGATGGTGTCATTGGCACAGCAGATGCTGGTGGTGTGCAAAGTTCCTGGTACAAATTTGTTAATGAAATTGGGAATTTGGGTGCTCTGCTTCTGGTTTGTTGACTTTTTGCTGTTTGTCATCCCAAACACCAGCCTAAATTCCTCTTGATTTCCCCTTAGGCTTCCCTGTGTGCCTCTCTGTTTCAAAATAATGAATTTGGGGGCACAAGTCATCTTTTGAGACTGCAGGAAGCTGCTTGTGTAGTAGAATATTCAAGAATGTGAAAAAATGAACAAGATTTTTATCCTTTACATTTAAATTGATTAATTAAGGTATAATTTAACTGATAAATTATACCTTTGCATTTGAATTGATTCTTTTGCTTTTATATCACTTCTCATCATGAGCAAATTTTTCTATTATCCTTATTCCCAAGGAAATAATATTGCTTTAAAAAAAAATTGTTATCATTGTGTATTGCATTCCACGTCTGAAATATTTATCTTTTCTAACTTTTATTAATCCTGTGTGGCTTCTGGTAGGAACCCAGAAACACCTCCTTATTTTTCTCAATTACTGTAAATTGGAGATTGTAAATTACTAATACAATTCCAGCTTCCAGCTGGCACAGTGGTACCAAAATCAGGTCCTGGATGTTTATCTGTATCTGACTTGCTGCCTGGTAGATTACTGTCCCTCTCTGATTTACTTCATGTATACGAGAAAACTTTGCAGAGAGACAAGGTCAATGCAGCCCACATGAAACATCCCTTGCTCACCTTGAAAATTTGTATTTATTGGGGCTCTGGAGACTTTAAAGCCATGGCTGGTCCAATTCTATTGTTTTCTTAAGATATGAAGCTGGTGGAGGAATGTGAGGGGAAACTGAATGCAGATGGACAGATTTTTTTTCTGTTCAGTGGAATTACAGATGTCCTTCGAGTTCCACAGTGGCAGCACAAAACAACTGCCTGTTGACTGCACCAGTACCAGGAAATGTTTCCTTGCTTGCATTTGCATCATTGTCCTTTCCATTACTGGAGGCATTAGTCTCTTTGGGCAAAACCCACACAACTTTACTGCACCAAGTTCCAGAGATAAAACCCTGCTGAGGTCAATGTGTTTATCCCATGCCCATCATCACTGATTTGTTGGTCCTGTAGTTTTCTCCATGGTGTTTTTGTTTTAAGGGATAAAAATTGCAAAGCTGGTGAGAACTCCCAGCCCTTTCTGAAGGCAAAGGGCTCATTGTTCAAACTTCCACTGACCTCAGCTTCCTAGGATTAGAAAGGGTTCTAGCCTCAGAAAATATGCATCACACCTGAGACTCTCACTCACAGTTTTGTTGATTAGAGTAAGACATGAGGCTCACATATCAGCCGAGGTTGTATCAGGGAAATATTTTATCTTCAATACATAGTTGCAACGTGAGACTCTTGGATGTGGCATGAGAGCTGTTCAGACTAACACGTCATGGCAGCCCATCATCAAATTTGTGTGTGGAGACTGGAGATGTGTGATCCCAAAGTGAATGAATCCCTATTGCTTGTGGCTGGAAAAGCTCACAAACCCAGGCACACTTGTGAGGTTCCTGTTGCTCTCTGTTACTGGATGTACTGGCAATCGCTTGGTGCTTGGCGTTGCCATGCTAGTTTGATCTCTTTTTCTTTCTGTCTCCAGTGAAAATATATAATGCAAACATATTTTAACATCTTTATATTAAACAAAGTAGGTAATTTGGGGGCATTTTAAAAGGTATTAGTTGTTTTATTTTTCTTTCAATACCTTCCCTGGGCTTTGTGTCTAGACGGTACAAACAGAGCTAAATGTCACTGCAGGAAGGGCTCACTTAAAGTCCCTTTTCAGTAGTTTTCTAGAAGCTGCATCCCCTGCAAGGCTCCTTTGCATTGGGTTTTTCCATTCTTCCAGAAAACAGAAAGCCATACAGTTTAAGCTGTTGTTTGTTTTCTTTTGGTGGTGACCCACATGTACCCTGCTGCACTGAGGTATGGCTGTGTTCCCCGGAGCCAGCCAAGAGCGAGATGCTGAGTGATACTGTGGAGATGCCCAGGTGCAGAGCTTTCTGTCTCACACCAAACAAACACTGATTGTCCTCCCTCTCCATCTTTGCCCAGCAGAAGCAGCTGTCACATGTCCTGACAGAGATCCTGAGTTGGAAATCTGGAACCCAGGTCACAACGAAGAAAACCGCGTTGAGATCCGCAAAGGCAGGAAGCTGCTCCTCTCTTCTTCTGCGACTGTCCACTCCATCCACATCACTGATGGAGGTAAAACGTGCTGCTGGCAAGGCTGGGTGCTGTCTGCACCCACTGGGACTCTTTAAATCATGGTGGATCATGCTGGGAGATCTTCTTGCTGAGAAGTGGGTGGCTACTGGGCAAACACAGCTTTACCCCAGTACAAGGCTGGGGGGTAGCTGAGGTGCTGAGATTCTTTAGCCATTGTAACCAGCCTATTTTCTGTCCTGTCTGGAGAATTTACACAAGTAGCTCAGTGCAATGATCAGTTCTACTTCTGTGATTTGCTTCAAAAACATTTTTTTTAGCAAACCACTGGCCTGATAGCATCATACTGCAGTGGTTATGTTATCAGGGCCTCAGGACAGGGCAATGCTTATGTCCTTCTTTGTCTCCAAGGACAGAGCCCTAGTGTTGCTGGCATGAATAGCTTTTATTCATCTTAACTCTAAATTTCTGTCTTAGTTTTGAATGGGTCCTCTTCCATGCAAATCTTAATTGCACTCTTCAAGAACTGGACTGAATAAAAACTAATGTTTTCAGGATTTGTATTGAGAGCTGTTTTGGGGTGTTTGAACAGAATTTTTGAAAGACTGAGGTGACAGCCCAGCATTGGGTTACAACAACCTCACATGAGCTGTTGTGTGATAAAGCAAATGCCATAACCTTCTCTGCTTAGGGAAACTGGTCATCAAAGACGATGTGCAGCCCATCACCCTGCGTACAAGACATATACTCATTGAAAATGATGGAGAGTTACACATTGGCAGTGAGCTGTGCCCTTACCAAGGCAATGTGGTTATCATCTTATATGGGCGGTACGTATGCATGATAAAATACTACCTTGGTACCTTCTGGCATCTCTCTTCCACATCAGGGAATGAAAATGTTCCTTAAAATTACATGTTCTCAGGTGCACTCATCATCAGTGCTCTGTGGAAAGTTCATAACTTTTTAGACAATTTAAATGGCCCACAAAAATTGATGCAGGTTTGGGTTTTTTTCTCTTCTACTGGGATATGAACACTGGGGTGTTTGGGCATGCCAGAGAATCAGCATGCACCTTCCCACAACTCACACTGATTTTCTAGAATAGGCTTAAAACCTGAGGAGTTATTTTTATCTGAAATTCTCCTCTCTAAACGTCCTTCCTTTCTCTATGGGAGTTGTGAGCTGAAGGATAACATGTTTATGTCTCACAGATTGGTACAGGATCTCTTAAAATTTCAGGGTGCTAAATTCATGTTTAACAACCACTGGACTTCTTAGCTCCTGCTTAGGGTCTTGCCTTCCTCCAGAATTCAAAAATCACAGATGTGGCATTCAGTCTGGGCTCCAGGCCTCCTCTGGCGTGGATATAATGAATATAGCATGTGTAAGCTGTGTTCCAGATTGTTTTTGGTCATTGGTAGCTGCTACTATTTTTTTAAGTAATTTATTTTCTGTACAACGTGGGCAGCTCCTGATTCTTGGAGTACCTGAAAGAAATGCACTGTAAATCATGAGAGTTCTGTCCTCGGGTCACAGCAGCACAAGGAGAGAGGTTCCTTGACTCAGACACAAACCCAAGCCTGGTCCCTTTCCTCCCTTCCTGCTTTAGAGCGGATGACGGCAGCCAGCCAAACCCTTACTTTGGACAGAAGTACCTTGGAGTCAGCAAAGGTGGCACTCTTGAGATCCATGGAAAGAAAAAGCTGTCCTGGACTTTCCTAAACAAGACTCTTCACCCTGGTGGCATGGAGGAAGGTGGATATTACTTCGAAAGGAGCTGGGGCCACCGGGGTGTCATTGTCCACGTCATTGACCCCAAGACGGGAGCAGTTGTCCACTCAGACAGGTGAGTGACCTTCTGCCTGCCCAGGTGTGAGGGTCTTGGGGAACAGGCTGGGGACAGCATCTCAGCAAGCTCAAACACACACATTTTAGCATCTTGTTTAAATGAGTGTTACTGCATATCTGTACAATTTCTCATAGACCAGCAATCTCCAAAACCACAGAGTGAGCAGTGTTATACCTTGCAGTTTGTTAAACAGAGTTTAATCAATTTGGGTTAACAGAACCCCCTAACACACCCTGCTAGACAAGTGCTTTTGCAACAGGGTAATATTACAATAAACAATACAAAATAATACAAATATACTTTCTTTATAGTACTTGCTTTTCAGTACATAAGGATGTGGTGATCACTGCAGTAAATATTTATGGGTGTTTTTTATCACTGCAGGTTTGATACCTACAGAGCAAAAGAGGAAAGTGTCCGCCTGGCTCAGTATTTGGGTAGAGTTGCAAATGGCATGATCCTGTCAGTTGCAGTGAATGATGAAGGATCCAGAAATTTGGACGACTTGGCCAGGAAAGCAATGACCAAACTGGGCAGCAAGCATTTCCTCCACCTTGGGTTTAGGTATGTGCCAGTCCTGCCAGTTCTCCCAGCACAGAGGCTTTATTATGTTCCTGAGATGTCCAAATAGTTCCACTCTTTCAAAGTCACAAAGTTCTTTCACATGGGAAAAAAAACCTAAAAAAAGAGGGAAACTTCTCAATGTGGAGTTTTAGCAGTTAATTAGATAGTTTCAGATGCACTCAGAGTCTATATTGGGTATTTTTATTAGCAGATTGAGGAATAGCATATGATTCACATTTAAAAAAATGATTTTCCAAGATATTGTTCCCACAGGTTGCTTATTCCAATTTATTTTCAAGCCATTCCCCAAAGATTGAAGAAGCATATTTATACACACACAGAGGATTAGATGGGCTGAGAATTAAGGAGGGTACAATAATTGCTGTGTAGCCCTGGCTACATACATACAGACACACTTAGAGCACATTCCTCAGCTTGTGCAGTGCAGGTCTGGGGACTTGTGCAGCACAGAAATTTAGCAAACATGGATTTATGGTGTGGACTGTAAATACTTCTGTGGCCAAAACAGTGTCTGTGTTGGCACACACACTGTTGAGAATACTTGCTATTTACCCAACTGTATCCATTATATTTTTTGTGTTTATCTGAATTTATGTAGGCTTTTTTTTTTTTATGAGGCAGTAAGAGGGTGTCTGCAGAACACACACACACACACACAAAATCTGCCTTGTAGGGAGAAGTGCTACAATACAGCAGTTTGTGGAAAGAGACATCTGTCAGCTGGGCACACACAGATGGAGCAAGGTCTGGGGTGGTTGATGAAGAGGTTGTGTCAAATGTTACAGGGGCTCCTGGGCACCAGACAACACATTTCAAAGAATCAACAAGGAGGACAGAAATGGTCTCCAAAACCAGGCTATCCCCAGGCTATCAGTGCAATTCTTGCTCTCAAACCTAGACCCCATATTAGAGCCCAGTAGTCTGCTGGGGTTTTGGTGGGTTTTTGGGTTTTTTTTCAAATGCTGGAATTAGGGAAACAGAACATGTTTTTTGAACATTTTACTTTTTTCCCCCCAGTTGTGCTACAGGAAGGAACTGATCGTTTTTGCATATGTTTATAAAAGTAAATTGCACTTGAGTTTTTTAGGCTGCTGTGGTGTTTTAATGCAAGCTTCTCATCATTTTGCCATCAATGTTTACAATGGAAATATCACAGAAATTCATCCATGGAAGTGTGACTTTCAGCATTGCTATTGTTTGCAGTCAAGAGGCTAATCCTTGCCAGGCTATTATCTGAAATATCACAAATTTGCATTCCATGAATTATAGAGACATGTGGAAGAATAATGAGATAGTAATTGGTCAACACTGTCTTCCACCAGCATGTGGAAAAATATCTGGTGCATTATTTAAAATAACATATTTTGAGAAGTGTTCTCAGAGTTTAAGTTCATCAATTCTTAAAAGCCACACTGTCTGGATGGCAGCTGGAGCCAGACTTAGGCAGTTTGATGACACAGTGGAGCACAGGCAGCTTTAGGTGTATCCAAGCTTTTCCTCTAAAGCAAATTGAATTTCCACTTCAGTGTAACAAGATTTTCACATAGTGGTTTACGTTTCAGACACATCTATAACTATGAATAAGGATGTATGCACTTGACAGGTGATTTTTGAAATTTAGTTTTAGTATCTTAGAAAAAAATGTTTGGAATGAGAAAATTACAAACACGTGTAAACCTTTTACCCTCTGCGGCCAAGGCAGGCTCTGGCTGAGGAGAGCAGATGGGTTTTTGTTTCTAACACTCCTGTCACCACTCACTGCCCAGCACTGGGGTTTGCTGGCTGGTCCTGCTGAATCCTGGCTGTCAAATCTTCTCAGCTGATGATGGCTGGGGCTGGCCATGGGCATTCCTGACAGAACAAGAGTGTAAGCCTCAGGCTGAGGAAATTTCTTCTTGCAACTTTGTGAGGTGTCACTTGAGTCAGGCTATGCAGTCATAGATTGTGTTGGTTTCTGGCTGGGGTTAATGGGCAAATTCCTGTCCACTTCCAGTTGCTCCATATGCAACCAGATTGTAAAGTTGTGCTACTCCCCCTTGCTGTAGCAGAACCGATGTGCAGTGCTGATTTATTCAGAAATGTTTCTGTGCTCCTGGAATCTCTTTTAATTGCCTATTTGCTGAGTCCAGAACATCAGAAATGAAAGGAAAATCTTGCATTCCTCTCCTATTGTTTTTCTTCTGAAAAGTGTGTTTAGTCTTTCAGTGTGAGCCACTTTTTTTCCCCTTTTACTAATAAATGAAGAGAAAGCCTTTTTGCACTTAATGACATAGTTGTTCTCTTTGGAATTCCACACAAATATCTCCTGTTTGGCTCTGACTTCCTGGTCGCTTCATTTCATACAACCCAAACAGATTGCATGTGTCCTTATGTGTCAGGGTTGAACAACTATAAAACTATTTTTAGTGGTAAAATAACTGGGAGAAGCAAGTATTTTAACACATGAAACAGGGCCAGACCTTGAGTTGCAGAAGTGAATAGCTCCTTATTTTTAAAATTATTTATGTGATTATTTTTGAGGCATCATAATTTTTTGTCATTTGTTTCAAATTTGATTTACCAAAATAATAATAATAATAACAAAACCAAAAAAATGTTGACTGCTGAGTGATAAAGTGTCCTTGCTGCTCCCATCCCCCTTCTCTCCCTGGATGGAGATCACAGCCTGTCAGTGCTTTTGGCAATTGGCACACAGGCAAATTTTCCAGCAGGAGCATCTGGCTGGCTGGCAGGCTGCTGAGGCAGTGGTGTTGGCAGCTTCCACTGAGCCTGGCTGGTGCTGGGGCTGAGGACACACTGCTGGGACAGTGTCCCCTTGGGCAGCCACTGGGGCCATGGCACAGCAAGGGCTCACCCTGAGCCTGCCCTGCTGCCCCCAGAGCAGCAAATCCCAGCAAACCCCAGCTCGTGATTTGGGTGTGCTTTAGTGGCTCTCTGCCAATGTCTGTACATGTTTTATTCTGGAGTTCCAAACTAGAGTGGTTTGGAACTTCATTTGAACCAACGTAAGGCGACCTGCAAGACTCCTGATGCAAGTGAAATGACCAGATATTTATAACTATAGAGACATGACCTAATCCATGGGAGTTTTTGTTAAAATCAGGACAGTCTCCCTACCACCCTAAAAGCATATTTTTTATTCTCTTAGTCATTAAGAGCAGATATGCCTCAACTACTTCTACTTTGAAGATAAAAATCCCCCCTGACCCCTACTAATTGTGCTCACCCTCAGGGTTGGGAGGCACTTTAGTCCCTATCTCCATTGCTTTCCCATCCATGTGGTGACTCCCCAAGGTGGCTGATTGCTATTGAACCTCCTTGATCAATGACCTTCACATGGTAATGAACTGAATTCTGACATGGGATCAGATTTGAACAGACAACTCAGAGCCATAAACCTTTATCCTTGTTCAGTGTTCAATGTGCAAAGAAGGAAATTAGATATGCAGACTATCTAAGCATTTTTCATTGTCCTTTGCCAGCCAGTTTCTCTATTAGAAATTCTCATGGGTCATTCCAAAGACAATTGTCATACACAAGGTTTCAGCATGGGCTTAATTTATTTAAGCAGAAGTGGTTTCTTTTCATATCCTTCAGTGTATACACACTGTACACACACACAAGATTTATTTGCAGGCTCCCCAAGGAGTTGCCAGTGTCTTTTGGGTCTGTCATACACAAGTTTCTTTAAACATTCATTTAAAGAACAAACACACTTGTTGCAGGCATGTTTTAAGTGGGGATTTTTCTTCAAATTTGCTTCTCTTCTGATATATTTACTGAAGAAATACAGTGTTGAGATAATTTTAATTATGCTGCCTGTGACACTAATCAGACTGTTTTGAATGTGGTGCCTCTGAGAAATTTAGGAACATTGGGCTATAAGAAATATGCATCTCATACTTGACATAACTTGATCATTTGTCATTGTCATTTTCCAGGCACCCATGGAGTTTTATTACCATCAAAGGAAATCCCTCCTCTTCTGTTGAAGACCACATTGAATATCAAGGTATTTAATGAACAAAATGCTGTCTTGGTGTGATCTCTGGAAGTTACTGGAGTTATAGCTGGGATTAATTTGGTCAATGGTGTTTTTACTTCCCACTGCATTACATTGAAGCTATGAGCAATTGATGGTTTGATGCTCTCTTTATATATTGCTTCTTCCCACTAATGCATCTGAAGCAGCTGAGTGAGGGATAGCTTAGGTTATCCAAACCTTCAGATAAAAGGTATGAGATCCTACACCAGGGTAAATCTGTGTAACTTCACTGAGCTCAGACATGGTCTCTCTAAAGACACAAATCTGTGGAACAGACCCAGCTCACACCAGCTGAAAATTGAATCAGTGTCTCCTGAATTAGTATCCTCAAATCCCCCTGTGAAACCATTTTCTTGCAAGCTGAACACTGTAGAGTGTCTGTCTGCTCATTAATTGTGGGCTTTATCCTCTCTTGATTTTTGAAGATTTTTCTTCCACATTATCCATGCAGTTACAGAAGTGTCTGAAGCCTCATTGCAAGATTTTTCTGGAAGTTGTGGAAGGCTAATTTTAAATAATGTAGTCAAAATATGCAAATATTCACAGAGACAATTACATTTTCTGTTCTTACTCTTATCAATTGCATTCAATGACTTCACCAATTGATTTCAATGATTTTACTAACGTTTTGGTTTTTTAACAGGTCACAAAGGGTCAGCTGTAGCCAAAGTATTCAAACTATTCAAAGCTGAGAATGGAGAATATTTTAATGTCTCTTCAACGAGCGAGTGGGTTCAAGGTAAGGGTCTGTGGGTTATTTCACTCAGTGGTAGACACTGACAAATAGGCTGAATCATCCCTTTTCCTTCAATGCTTTTCCATTTGGGAAGAGTGGACTTGCTAGCTGCTATTTATGTCATCACTAACCCAGTTAATGAACACTCACAGATTACTTCCCCAATTGTCTCTAGGACCCTCTGAATAACTGGGATCCTTTTTCCTTTTCTGCACTGGGTATGAAATTCCATCTCCTATGGTCTCAGAGATCACACACAACCTCTTCTTTCCACTGCACAGTCATCATGTCCATGTTTCAGACAACACACAGTAGCTGGTGCAACTTGATCTGAAGATCAGAAGGCAGCTAAGGTGGACACAGATCCAAAATCTGTATCTATTAATAATGCTTACACTGCACACACCAGTGACACAGCTTTTAATAACTCTGCTCTCCCTTGGCTGGTTGCACTTCACAGCATCTTTAAAAGTGGCTGGCAGACTGGCAGGAAGAGGCACGAATCAGATCATCAGTGAAGAAACTTGTGAATGATATCTGAGATCATATTATGCTTTGTGCATTTCTGCTGCGCTCATTAAGCTTGACTTTCAAATGACTGTACTTGTCTGCACTTGTCTCCAGATGTAGAATGGACAGAGTGGTTTGAGAAGCCTGACAAAGCGAGATCTAAGGACATGGAGAAGCTGTCTGACTTCAAAGCTGCTCATCCTGACAAAATCTGCAGGCAGCCCATTGACATCCAGGTAGGCAGGCTTACCACTCACTTTAGAGGGGATAAGTCTTCTTTGGACTGACATTGAACCCCCAAAATAATTGTGCTTTTCAGTAATTTTTGTTTCTAAATAAAATACACCAATTATTTTACCACTCTACTAATACATAACCAGCAAGATCTTGTGTATAGTCTTGTATTGTTCTGAGACAAATCTGATAGAATTGGGCTCCTTTCAGTAAATTCTTGCTCCTGGCATGAAAAGGTGTACAGATGGGGTCATGGACAGCACAGATGCTATCATGAAATATGTGGTTCCCTGCTGGAAGATTAAAAGGAGCAAGCACATGAAAATTTCAAAGGTTTTAATGGTCCTGGACTCTACCTAAAAAATTAATCACAAAATATAACAAGATAGTGCAACTACCAGCTGTAGCAGGTTGTCAAAAATATTGGTGAGCTTTCAACCATTCCTTGGAATCAGTTGTTTCATCTCTGTGGAAAGAAATTTGACTTCTGTTTGGAGCTAAGCATCATAATTATATCACCAGGCCAGCATGCTGAGGAGCACTCAGATGCCTTTTCTGACACTGCAAAAAAACTCTTTAAGGACAAAAAAACCCAGCAAGAAACGGGGGTTTTTTTTTATATGTTCACCATATACTTTTTATGTCTACCTGGTAAAAATACTATAGCAGAAGCATTGCCTAGGAAAAGACAATAAAATCCTTCACATCTGTGTGAGGCTGAGCCAGTGAGTTGTTCTTATTCACAAGAATGTGGCTATTGAAGTAAATTGGATTGCTGACTCCATGAGTGAAAGTTTCCAGGGCTAGATGTTATAAAGAATCTCTCTTGAACAGAAAGGAAAAAACTGCCCTATAATTTTCTGCCAGGTCTTACCAAACCCACATTTATTTCTGCTTCCATATACGTGTGTTAGAAGTGGCAACTTAGTTCAAAACAGGGGTCAGATGTTTCTTATGATACATCCCCTTCTAGAATGTGCGTTAAAACAGAAAGAAGAAAGATATTCTTCTGTTCTAGAAACAAACCTTTTTTTCCTCTTCTGTGAAATAAGTTACCTTTTTTATCCCCATGTATATTAAAAGTGAGAAATTTTTCAGTTTATCCTGCAGATCATAGGGCAAATCCTCAGGTAGTGTAATCTGGTGCTGCTCATTGCTTTCATAAAGCTACACTGATTTACAGCAGCTGGCCTGCCCCAGCTCTGGAAGATGGGAGAAAATTGCAGATATGATGATAGTAACAGAAGCACAGCACAGCCAGAGGCACATTCCTCCAGCTGACAGTGCTAATCCCACACACAGCAGCAGGGTGGATGCATTAATAAGGAAAGCCTGCATGAGTGAGAGAACCAGGACCAGAGCCTTCATTGAGAGATGCCTTTTCTCCTGGTGCCTTGCCAAAATGCAGGTGGTGTTTGGATTCCTCGATGCAATGCACCACATTTTTGTGAAAGGGTCAAGAGAAATACAAGCTCTAGAGACAGAATGTGAAATTTGACATGACCCTGAGACGTTGCCCCAGCAGGAACACCAGACAGGTTACATATCTCACTGCTTCTTGGCATGATACAGCCTTTTTTTCTCAAGGCAGCTCTACAGGCTGGTACTTGCCTGTGAGAAAAGGCCACTTCTCCTTGTTTCTTTTGGAACAGGCAGCAGTATTGCAGCACTCTGGGTTTTTTTTGAGAGACTGATCCATGCAATGGAGAAATAAAACCCCTACCCCTTTCTTCTGCAAGGTTCAGACAGAGTCTGGCCACAAGCAATGGAATGAGAGCAGTGCAGAGGCTTGAAACCATGAGTTCATCTGGCTGCAAGCATCCGTGTTCAGTGTTTCCACCTGCCCTCAAACCAAGGCCAAGAGAAAATCTAGGGCACTGTGGCAGCTGCTTGTGAAGCTCACAGACTCCTCCCAAAGCAGCCCGTGGTCTCAGCACAGACACAGAGAAAGGTGTGCACCAAGGCAGTGGCTGTGTGTGAGCAGCAGCTGGAAATGCTGGCTGGGGAGCACAGGCACAGGGGTTTGCCAGGCAATGCTTGTGCCATCACCAAAACAAAGCAAAGGACTCTTCTGATGGCTCAGATGTTTTGGTGAAATCCCTTCACCTCACAGCAACACCTGAGTTGTATTTCCATCCTTGTTCCAGGCAGTGACTCTTGATGGAGCAGATTTAACCACTGAGGTTTTCTACAAGGGCGGCCACGATTACCAATTCCTGTGCCACGGCAAGGACCAGACAGGAGAGGGCTGCCACAACTACAGAGTGAGGTTCCTGTGTGGCAAATCTGGTATGTGCCCCATCACTGAAAGAACAGAGAACAGCAGAAAGCCTGTCCTCCCATGACTGGCTCCTTCTTGGTGTCAGAACAACTTCTGTAATTTTTCCAAGCTAAAGCTTTGGCTGGGCTATGGACACAAATTCAGGTAGAATGGCCATAGATCTATCTCAGGAAAAATTCCTGAGCACTAACAGAAACAGCAGGGTGGTTTTTCAAATACCCAGCAAGGCTGTGGGAAATATTTGGCAAGTTCTTTCCTGTAAATTCCTTGTCTTTTGCAAAAACATTTTGCGATGACATAGGATTAGTCAATCAGAACGTGTGAAGACAACAGGGTTTGAAACTCAAACTTCATTTTGTAGTTACTCATTCCAACACCGCTGTCCTTAACCTGATCGTTAGACAGGTCGTTAGGATTTTTGGTTCTGGCAGGAAAAGAAGGGTGGCAGACTGTTGTTTTGCTGGAAAAAAACACCATTAGGTTAAAGACCACTTGGCTGCTGTAAACAACAGCACCCAGCGCCCACAGGAGCTGCTGCTAAGTGGGTGTGGTGAGAATGAGCCACTAAGAGCTACATTTAAATTTATCCTGGGGTTAGTGGAAAATCCACCTGCCTGCAACTAGAGAAAAATACTTTCCTGTTTTCTTGCTTGCCAAGCCAAAGCCAGTAAAAAACATGTTTGGAGGAGTTAATTTTTTTTTTCTTTTTAGCATAAGAAAATCATAATTTTTGGTGGCACTCCAAGGAGGGGGATGGGGGGAAGAAAAAAGAAGGAGCAAGATTTTTCTGATCAGATTGACTGAATTCTCCACCCTTGCATTTTGGGTTTCCAGTGAAGCCAAAGCTCACAGTAACCATTGACACCAACGTGAACAGCACGATCCTGAATCTGGTGGATGATGTGAGCTCGTGGGAGCCTGGGGACAGGCTGGTGGTGGCCAGCACTGACTACTCCATGTACCAGGCAGAAGAGTTCCAAGTGCTGCCCTGCAGAACCTGCAGACCCACCCAGGTCAAGGTGGCAGGTGAGGTGCTTCATCTTATCACTCTGGCATTGTCATTTGCACTGAGGTTACTCCAAGAAGAATTGGAAAATGTTGAAAGACACCTGAATTTGATGGCTGGTTGTTAAATGCTTTTGGGATACTTAACTTTCATGCTTGAAAACCATCTAACTTGATTTTGGTTCCTTTCTGCCTTCTCTTTTCCTAGTTGACTCAAATTTTGTCCCCAAGCACGCTATTGAGTGGGTGAATTTACTTAAAAGGAACAGATAAAGTTATGTATTTAAGATTTTCAATACCTGCATTTGAAATACCACCTCCTAGAAAGCAGATGAGCATAGCTGATGTGAAGAGTGAGCTCGGGCAGGAGCAGACTGTGAGGGACTGTAAGGCTATGAAGTAATTCCCAGCTGGCTGCTTTCCTGAGTTCTATTTAACAAGAACTGTAATCTTACATCTTAGAAATACTTCTTTGTACTAGCTACTGTTTCCCGTTTACTGTGTCTCCAGAGAGTATTGCTTAGAGGTGATGTATTAACCAAACATTCCTGGCAGCCACTGAGTTGTCCTGAGCCTCTGCACTGGGGAGATGGAGTGACAGGGTGCTGCCAGAGTGAGCCTCAGAAAGAGGAGTGGGAGCCTTTGCAGAGCCCCAGCATTTTTCTCTTTTAGGTGACCAGCAGCTCAAATGCAAAACAAATTGCTTTTGATTAATAGATTTTGTAGTCCAATGATTGTAGAATGGCCTCTGGACACCGAATCTAATTAAGAAGCAGAACCATGATGAAACGCAGACTATTACCAGCACAAGCATAAAACTGAAATCCAGAGTGGGAGATTTAATCTTCACTTGAGTCTGTGAAGTTGTCTTTCCCTTCCTGAACCTTGTTTTGGCACACTGATAAGCAAGGGATGGAAATAGCACATGAACTGCCCCTTATCTGAATAGATGAGGATTTTTTTTTGCTTCTATAATTTACAAAAGCAAACATTATTTTCCAGTATAAAAGTCTGTAGTAGATGAGGCTGTTATTCAGAGGCAGCATCTGCCTGGTGGTAAATCGTGCCTGTGACTTTGTCTTTGCTTGCACACTGGCTGTTGCTCTAGGCAGAGGTCTTGTCTGCATTTACAGTAAGACCTTTCTGAGAAATCATGAGGGCACTTGGAACATCCAATGCACCAGGGAGTCCACTCAGTTCTCTGAAATGAACCACTTCCACACTATCTCTGATGCAACTTCTTCTGGCAGGTACCAATACACTTCCTTTGGCAGCTGCCTCCCCACAGAGCTTTGGCCATTCATTGTTGGAGATGTGCATTAGGCCAAGAAAAATGTTATTCACAGTCTGAATGTATCATAGTCTTATGACTTCAAATGTCTAGTGCTTTCAAAGAAGACACATTTCCAAGCTGAATATTTTTCTTGAGCAACTTTTGAGCTGTTGGACTCAGACTGGTATGATACAAGTCACATCATGAAGATGGTCTTGGAAGATTGCCAGAAAAAATAAAGATGGTGTAGGAATCCTGGGCTTCCCATAATCTAATGGATCTGTGGAATTCCTGTAGTTACATTCATCTTCTGCAGCAGTAACAGCTAGGTTAGTTTAAGGGAACAAATTATGGGTTAAAAACAACAAAAAATTTCATGTGAATTTCAAGTAAAGGAGCAGTGGAAACACTTGTTAAAGCAATTGTGCTCTTGGTCTCCAATTGCTCTTTAGGAGATTTAGGACATTCCTTTTATTACCACAAATGACATGAACACCAGGGCCAAAGTCTCTCCTTTCTTATATCCAGGCAACTCTATTGACGTCAATGGGATTTCACTGATTATATAAATCAAGGCAAAATCTAGTCCAGTTATAAAAATCACTTCCAACTTTCTTGTAACAAAAACACATTCACACTAGAAAACAAAGTAATCTGCCTGAATCTAAGTTCAGTGTAGATGAAACAAAACCTGGCAGAGGTGTCCCCTGTCTTTAGGAGCCAGCAGGTCCCTGGGCTGCCCTGTGCCATGGTGTAACCTCATCCTCTGCCCTGTGCCATGACAGGTAATTAGCCAGATCACTAATGGCCCCTGCTCTCAGCACAGGTGAGCAGCCCTGGCACAGCCTGGCCCTGTGTGCTTAGGCCAGGCTTGTAATTGGGTGTAGAAGAACATTCATCATAAATGTCTGCCTGCTTTTTGCTAGGGAGGTGGGCAAGATTGCTTTGCTCCATCTCAGAAAAGCCTTCCACACATACATTTATACACAGGATCTCAGAGGGATGTCATTTATAATAAGTGAAAAGGCTTAATTTTCCTAAGAGGTTTAGTCTAGCAGTTGAGAACTCCAAAATTTGCCCTTTAAAAGACAAATGATAAAACCATTCTTACCCATGATGATTTGTTTCCCTTTTAATCTTTATTTTTTTCCTTTCTATTTATTTTTAAAATGAAATCTAAATGTCAGATCTGAACTACTTAAGAGTCTCTTTGTTATAAAAAAGGCAGAAAATCTCTGCTTTGTGGACAGCCAGTATGGTGTGGCAGCCACTTGGCATACCAAGGTTTAATATAATTTATGGTCTCATAGTTTAATAGTATTTTAATAGACATGGTTTAGTCCATTGTGCCAAATAACTCAAACTCATTAGTTAGCTCATGTCCTATTTATATTTGATACTTCCTGCTGAAACTCATACTTTCTTTACTGGCTAGAAATGGATTGATTGGAGCTTTTCAAAATAACTTAAGGGAGTTAATACTCAATTGCCATCAGGTTCTAGGAGGATTTAGTTATTTAACTATGGACATCTGCAAATCTCAGTGTAGAAAGTGAGGGAGGACACACAGCCTCTGATCTTTTGCACTCTTTTACTGGAGTAACTGCCCTAATAAAAAAAATTCTGCATCTCCCATGGGTAAGTGTGGTTTGCATGAGGACCCAGATCTGCAGGTCCTGCTCCCAGTCAAATGGTCACTCACTTAAATGGAACTTTTTCCTCCACTTGCTTTCTTTGTTTAACTTTTTGTTTTACTTGTCTTTTTTTGTGCCTAGATTATTTTCACTGTGGGAACAGATTAAAAGTGTTTGATCTTCCAACTTCATAAGGTTTGGGGAGGGACAACAGTGCAGGGAAAAGGGAGGGAGGAGGGAGGGAGGAAGGAAGGAAGGGTTGTGTTGTTATGATAGAACTGGATAGTAGGAAAGATCAAGTATTTTGTCTAGTTTCCCTGGGAAACAAGACTTATCTTCATCTTGGTTGCTCTGTATGAAGTTTCTAGTAACGCTGATAAGTTTCACCACGGAAGAGAAATGATGAAATGCTCTTTTGTGCTCCTATATGCTCTTGATAAAGGATGAGAAAACGATTTGTGCCTGGCATAATTGCTCCAATTATCCCACATACTGGTGAATCTATGAATTCAAGCACACGTCTCCTGCTTATTGGGTTGCAAATATTAGAGAGATAAGGAGTTTACTTTGATCTTGTTCATGCAGAGAACTTTGAATTAAAAGTATAAATATGTAGTTGTCTCACAAATTCACAGCCTGTGTCAGCATTCATCTGGTGCTGTAAGGATGGGAGAATTTACTCCACTATCAAAATTCAGATATTTTTAGAGATTTAGGGTGTTCTGTTAAGAAGTTGGCATCATTTTGGCTGGAATTTGCCAGAAGCTATTTTTTTAAAGGCAACCCTAGTGCTTGAGGGCAGGGCAGGAAATCTTGTGAAATGGTCCTTTCTAACAGCCTTTCAGAGCTCCTTCTACCTTTGGGCATTGCCCGAGGGCTGAGCTGACAGATTCTCATTCAGGTTTACATAGTAGTTCCTAAGGGTAGAGTTTGTGCCTGATTGCTGTATGTCTGTTTGCTGAAAACCTAGTTTTCCATATAAAAGTGATGAATTTGTTGATTAGGACATCAGATTGTACTGTGAGACTCAAGGAGCCAGCAGCTCACCCAAACCATGCTGTGCTACAGGCCTGTGCCTTAGGAATGTAACAGCAAACCCCATGAAGATAATTCAGAATAATGAGGATTTGAAAGATGCCAGTGTGAACATTTGTTTGTTATTAAATATAAGCAATAGGGGCATAACCACCAGTGATGACAAGTGCTTGGCAAAAATGATAAGTATGTCAGATCTGGGCTGGCATCTGCAATGAGTTGAACTGGCTTTAAAGATGCCATGAAGGGTTCACTGTCACTGGATCATGTGGGTTGAACAGACAAATTGTGCTTAGCATTTCCCTTAAAAACTTGATTAGGGAACATCAAAAGACCATGAGACACTGGGTCTTATCCCTAGAGATCCCAAAGGAGAATCTCAGCTTTACTTTATCTTTACCAAATCCAGACCTTCAACTGCTGGTTTCACTTCTCAAAGGGAGATTTAGCAGTTTGGGCCTTTTAGAGCCAAAGGATTTAGGAATGCATGGGTGTACCTGGGAGGGTTTTCTGAGAGATCACCAGATCTGAGCACTCTTACACATATGCAGCAGTTGAAATAGTTTTAAAATCCCACCCTTCCCAGGTTTGATAAGGCCCAGGTTTTATGGCTGGGTTTACATGTGGCAGGTTTTCCTTTGTACCATTTGGAGAAACTCTGCTTTGAATTGCTTTGTTGACATAAGCATGCCCTTGATGAGTGGATCATCTATGCTTATTTTAATCTATATTTCCTTTTAATTATTACCTTGTCTTTACCAACAAATGACTTCAATAGTCACTGTCTTGAGTAATAAGCATGGAAATGTGCTCATATTTGGCTGATTCAAGACTTCCACTAGGCAAGCCCACATACTGAGGAAGTTTTCCCTGTAAATTTACATTGTGCTGACTGGAGGCACTGCTGTGACACAGACAGCAGCAAAGCCAGGGAGCTTTTCCTGGTGCATCACATGAATCTGTTGTGGGGAGACATGATCTGTGTCCTGTGTTTGGCTTAGATTACAGTATGGCACAAGCCTGGCAGGGCAGTCTCTACCATGAGGTATGCAGCAAACCCCAGCCCAAAGGAGAAGGTGAATCAGTGCCTCAGGGCTGGCTGGTGGTTGGGAAATCACAGCACTGGCTTTGATGCTGAAGCAGCAACACATTCCTCCCACTTTCAAAGCACAGGGTTGCCTTTTGAGTATCAAACCACTGCAGTGCCCATTTGCAAACAGTGCCCTGGGTCTCAGATACCCGGGCTGGTCTCTGGGAAGGCTCCATGTGCCAGCTGGGAGCAGCAGCCAAACTTCCAACTTGTAGCTCTGCAGAGTGAGATGCTGCCGTGCTCGTGTGAACTCCCTGAACCCACCACACAGCAGATTCTTTTGTGGTTTTTTTTTCCTGCCCACCACCAAAAATGCCCCAGGCAGCTCCCTGGCAGTGCCACGTGTCTGTGAATGCCCCTCGCAGTGCTCCTGTCCCATGCTGTAGTGCTGGTTCCCAGCATTTACAGCACAGAGGGCTCCCATGCTAGGATCTGTCTCCCACAGGAGAGACAATCCCACAATCTCTCTCTCTCTTCTTTCAGGGAGCTTGAATTTCTGTCAGCCCTGAGAAGTGGTTTGTTTTTCAAGACTCTATTAAAGGAGCTATTATTCAAAATCCGCTTTTACTTTGGAAGGGGATTGCTTTCCGTCTCTCCTTTTATCTCCAAACATGTCAAATCAGCAAAAGCATAGAGTGAAAAACATGCACCCAAGAAGTTATATTTAGAAACTGGTTAGTCCGTATTTAACATTCCTGTCAGTGCTTACCCTGTTTTGCATGTCTGGACTGGTGTTAAATTAAATTAAATACATGCAAGCATGACATTTATTATTCTAGAGCTCAGCACAGGAATAACAAAACTGCCTATCTAATTTCACTGCCACAAATCCTGGAGATGTGGATTCAAATAGTATGTTCTTATGATTATCTAAAATTCTTCCTGCATTTCAATAAATCAAGGAGAGGTCAGCTCTGGGGAAATCTGAAAAATAACAGCTTAAAAATGTTCTCCATAAGGAGAAACTGTGCTGCTTTACAGACTCACTCAAGGCTCCAGCATGGAGTATCCTCATATGGAGGATGCTCACTGCAGTGTTTTTTTTTCATGTATGTGAATAAAGGAAGCAAAGTTGCTGTTTTTTTGGATGGGTTGAGTCTGGTTTTGGCCACACAGCTGATGAGGGTCACTGGCTGCAGGGCTCAACACAGGCATGGGTAAGCCCAGGACTTTCTAGAGAGACAACTGCAAAAGTGAGTGAGGTGCAAATCCAGGGTCCTTGCAGCCCTTCATTTCTCAGATGAGCATGCAGCTCTTTGGCCATCACCTCTCCTGCAGTTAACAGAGAGTGATTTTCACCAGATCAGATGATTTTGAAGGCAGAGGTGCCAGGCAGAAGGCACATGTTGTGGTGTGACCCCTGTCCCACAGCGCAGCAGGCTCAGGGCAGGGCGGAGCACTCGCCCTTCCCAAATCCCAGTGTTGCCATCAAACCACACTGCTTCCAGCTTCAGGAGAAGAGGGAGTCAATGGTGTTTCCTTATGTTTTTTATACACTCAAAGCATCATGTTTTGGTTAAAAATAATATTGTTTCATTGTTCAAAATCCTCCCCTTGACTTGGCACTTCTGCTTAAGCATAAAGTGCTTTGCAGTGATAGCCAGGCTTCAGGCTTGCCATTTGTTTCTAATTAAGGATTTGAACGATTCCATGGAAATTAAATACATGCAAGTGTAGCATTCCTTAAAGTTCAGTGTTTACTTAAAGAGTTTATTACTTATTTTTACTGGAATAATGCAGAATGGAGTCAGTAAGGTGAACTTTTTCCCAACTGAGTTTTCTCTGCAAAAACCTGCGGAAGGAAGGAGGTAGTAGGAATATTTTTGAATGAAATGACAACAAAGAGGTGTCTTGCTTTCTAGAATCCCCACTGCCTGGACTTCCCCCCTTTCTGGTTAGGCCAGGGAAAGTTTTCTGTGCTTTTAACCCCTCAGTGGAGGAGGGTGTATGGGGAAGATGCTATGAGCAACTTGGCTTGGCAAAGGGAGGTGTGGCATGGGGTAGATGGAAGATCCCATTGACTCCAGCTGCACCAGGGCAGGAGGAAGCCTTGGGAGCAAGTTGGAGATGTGAGGGTAGATCTGAAATGGAGAGGCTTGGGAGAACAGAGAGTCAGAGGTTTTACAGCCCACAACCTGGTGAGGGGCTGTGATTGTCCCAAGCCACAATTCCTATGAGGATTTCTGGCCACTCTGCTCCTTGCTTGCATCAAAAGCCATGGTGTTAGCAGGATCTGACTCATGTTTCCCAAGAGTAGTGCTGTGGGGTCTGAGCAGCTCCCCATGTCTTACAATGGGAAATGCTATGCTAACCTTGGTGATTTACACTTTTTATTTCACATACCAAGGAAAGCAAAATGCAGAAAGGGAAAAATTCCTCACCAGCCATTGAGTAGCTGCATCATCAGGTTTTTTTGCATTGGATGTTCATACACAGCTGGTTATAATCCACAGTACACAGTTCCTTTTCAAGGTAGGAAATGTGTTTTGTCTAACAGACTGTTGGTTTAACTCCCTGGTTAAATGAAGCAACCTAAGACCAAAAGTCCCACTTCCTCCATTGCAAATATCCCACCAAGACCTTGGGGGTCACCTGTGCTCCAGCCTTCTCTCCTCTGAGGTGTCAGCCAACAGTTTGTGCTGGCTCGGGGGCTCCTCTCATCAGCACACCAACCCCTCCACGGGGAGCCCACAGGAAGCCAGCAGCATTGGCAGAGTAATCCTGAAACTGGATCTGGTTCTTTTAGGGAAAGCCACCTACCTGCACATGGGCGAGGTGGTGGATGGCGTGGACATGCGGGCAGAGGTGGGGCTGCTGAGCCGCAACGTGGTGGTGATGGGCGAGATGGAGCCACAGTGCTACGAGTACAGCAGCAAGCTCTGCTCCTTCTTCCACTTCGACACCTTTGGGGGACACATCAAGGTAAGGCTGGAGCCCCTCGCTTGTCCTTTCCTCCTTCCAGCCACGCCTTCGCATACCAAGGAAGGCAAGGTGCAGGAAGGGAAAAATTCCTCACCAGGCATTGAGCAAACAACCTCTCCCCACAGCACAGCAGATTCCCCCTCTGGCTGCTGCCTGTCCTTTGGCTTTGAAGTTCATGTCATGCCCCTGCAGACATTGCTCAGCCAGTGAGGCTGGTGATCAACACACCTGAGATAGTCTGCACATCCCAAGACCAGTTTTCCCTAGATTTTGTTGTTGCTTAGCCCAGGAAGTTTGATTTCAACCCAGCTGGCTGAAGCCCATGGAAAATGATAAATATAAATTGCTTTCCTTATACAATTAAGTTAAATGTGTCTATGACAGCAGTGAGGAAATCCAAGAGCAGCTCTGGTCTCTCTTAGCCACCATGCCCCTCTCTCCCTCCTCCTGCAGCCTCACACTCCCTCCACACAGTAAATCTTCCCAGCAGATACAGTGCAACCCCTCCTGTGCTGTGTTCCCTCTCCTTGCCCTCAACAGATTTCTGTGTTTCTTGACTGCTGTTCTCTTCTTCTCCAGATTGGTCTTGATTTTAAGGCTACCCACATTGAAGGTCTAGAACTGAAATACATGGGCCAGCAGACAATGGGGCATTACCCAATTCATTTCCATATGGCTGGAGATGTGGATGAGAAAGGAGGCTACAACCCTCCAACGTATGTGAAGGAAACCTCCATCCACAACACCTTCTCCCGCTGTGTCACAGTCCATGGATCCAACGGTTTACTGGTAAGAAGTTCCTGTGTCTGCCTCAGAGATAAAGACAGCAGCGTGAATACAACTTAATTATTGCAGAATTATGTGTTTTATTGTTAAAACCAATGCCTGATATACACCCTGGATAGACAAGGCGTATCTCGAGCTGCCAGTGTGGCACTAGGGCTGTGTGTGGCTCAGAGTGGACAGAGCATTTGTCTGGGTACTGCAGTGTCTGCAGACCAGCCCATCTCTAATGAGTGGTTGGATCTTTCTGTAGACACAAAGTTTGCTATTTAAAGAGGATAATCAGAAGCTTTAAGATGTGCCTCATCTTTCCTGTAATAAAGGTTTGGGTTTGCAATGCCAGCCATAATATTAAGCACTTACAGAGCTGAGATTTGCTAGAGTTGCACTCTACAACAAGAAATCCTTTAGGATAAATCTCTAGAATGACTGATGGTTACCAGACAAGTTACAGCATACCAGAAATGTCAAGAACATGTTCAGATTCTCCCCAGATTTAGGGGTACCTTTGTTTTTGGAGTAAGGATGCTGGACCTGTTGTTTGTGAACAGAGAAGGGCTTGTGGATGATATGATGGTTAGAGGCTGTCTTGGGCACAGTGATCACAAAATTATAGCAGTTTTCTATTCTTGGGGAAGTAAGGAGAGGGGTCAGCAGAACAGCTGCCCTGGATTTCCAAAGGACAGAGTTTGGCCTGTTTGGGAACCTGGGTGACAGAATCCCTTGAGAGGCAGGTCCTGAAGGGCAGAAGAGTCCAGGGGGACTGGATGATCTTCAAGAAGGAAATCTTAAAGGTGCAGGATTTCTCTAGACAAAGGACTCTCACCCATTGAATGTATTCCAAAAGGAAAAAGTGTATCTGAGCCCTGGAGAGGAGAATTTGTGCTGTCAATAGCCCTGCTGCTATATATAGCAGAATTTTAAGTGGAAACATATCATTGGCAGCTGTAACCTGGATGGTCACTGTGCATTAGGAGTTCATACCTCTAGAAGTGCCAGCATTGGAAGGGAAAGTCACAGGCATAATTAAAATGTATAGAAGTTGAACAAAGGGCACTTAAATTGCAGTTCTAGAAGCAGAGCAGCTTTTATCTGCTATTTATGAATCTGAGGTTTTGGGTTTGACCTCTATCCTGCTAAGTTTATAACATGATCTTGAAAACCTACCAAATGAACATTCTGAATTAAAGAGACATTTTGCTGTATAAATTATATAAGTCATTCAGGGTCATATGGCATTTGCCCAATCTGAAGCTGCCAGTAGAGAGGCTTAGTACACAATTAATGAGCAGAGTGGCAGCACTGCAGGTTTCATTCATCACTCTGTGATGGACTGTCACCAGGGGCACCTGGTGACACAAACACATCCTCTGGCTGCACAGAGGCTGCACAGCTGCTGACGAGCTGCAGCTGCTTCTGGACCTAATGTGAGATCTTCATTCCCTGCTGCCAAAGCAAATACCCAGAGCCTGGCATTTTTCTTATCGGTCAGATGGATGGGTTCATGCAGAGAATTTGGAAACACTTTTGTCTCTTGTGCTTTCTCTGGGCAACAATTGTGCCTTGGGAGATCCATGGTGTAGGAATTCGTGTGCTCAAGCTTTTCCAGCCAAGATGGCAGAGTGAAATTTAGACAGGTTGATGTAGCTGATGAAAGCAACTTGATTCTCTTGGTTATTGAACAACCACAATTCCCTAAATGATCATACTTTGCCTCTGTGACAAGGCACCCGAGAGTAGTCTTATAATTTAGGATATTAGTTAGTCAACATAATCCCTCTTGATTTCAGTTTATCAAAATGTGTGAATGTGAAGCTCTAACTATACTTGTTTTGTTTTGGTTTTTTGTAACTCATCATTTATTGCTGATGGCTGAAAAGAAAGCCCCAGTGAGCTAAAGCAATTTGATCAAGTTTGTTCAGTTGCATCACAGAAAATGTGCTCCAAATGTTGCATCACTTAGGTGTTGTTTCATGACTCTGATACTCATCTGCAGTCAGCAGCTCCATGCCTTGATTCATCAGGTGATCCCACCACAATCTCCTCATCTGCTTTCTGACTCCAGTTTCCTTCCTTTCCTCTTCCTTCTCCCCCAGATATATGCAAAGACACCCACATGGGTCTCTGATGACTACAGTAATTATTGTATACATTTCCCAGTTGCCCATTATCTTTTCACTTGGGCAGCACCACCTGTTTCTACATGCAAGAACACCTTTGATGCAAACAGAGATGAGCTCTGTCTTTCCCCAGGTAACATTCATTCCCTCTGAGATCAGCTAGATCCAAAGTGTACTCTGCTGAGGGAAAATTTGCCTTAACGATGTGCAAAAACCACACTTTGGAGATAGTCATAAAAATTCTAGTCGGACTATTAAACCTCAGCATAGAACAGCACTTAATGATGTCCTTAATATTAAACTGTTGATTTCAGAGGTGCTTCTTGCACGAGTGTTGGAGAGTACCTATGCAAATGTTTTAATAAATGGGAGAGTGGCATCAGTTGCTTTTTGCTGCCATTAAAGCAGACAGATAATTTACATACAGGTTCTCCTGCTTGCTTTGCTGTCACTTTTCTCATGTCACTTCAGAGATACTCATAGATACTGAAAAGTCTAGGAGAAAAGAGTATCCAGTTATTCCTGATGACAGGTATTTTTCTGTGGGTTTGCAGAGTCTGTTAGAAGTGGCTGTCTCAATGTTAGCTCACCTCATTGATGGGTTCTTCCACACTTGTCTGTAAATTATTATTGGCTGAGAGGCACAGAGGGTCCTTCAGGAAACAAATCTGTAGAAATGAGTTTCTCACCATAATTGTTGTTTTAAAATGCAATAGTTACCCAACGTTTTCTGCAATATATTGGCCAAAAAATCACCTAGTTACACCACTGCAATCCCAGGGATGAAATTTTGCTCTGATTCCCACTCTCTCCATTGGGTCCCAGTGTGCAAGCTAAAATAGAAGCAGCCACTGGGGAAGGAAGTTAAATGGGGGTCAGTAAATAGTCTGGCATGATCCAGGGGAGACCTGTACATCATGGAATAGGAGGTTGTGCTATCTAACAGCTTCAGTGGTATCTGCTTTTACTAATCCAGCTATACTTCACAGCAACTGTTTTGCCAGGAAGGGAATTATCTGGCTCAAAATTACTCATGGTTAATGTAAGATTCTGGACTATTAGCAAGGTTTTAATCAAATAAAAAATGAAATACATTAGGAGAGTGATTTTGGAATAATCATCTTGTTTGCTATCCAAGCATTTCAGCAGTGGACTTGTGCATGAAAACAGGCACAGGAAACAAGTCAGAGGTGACTGAGAGATGGCTTATGGGGAAATAATTAATCAAAGAGAAGGTGACAAATGTCTAAGGGACCAGATTCCTGGCTGATAACTCCCTGTTGTTCTGTGGGCTTTCAGGGAGGAGTTAGGAGAACAACAGGAGTTTGCTGGCTCTGAGCCCCTCTGCCAGTGCACAGCCCCGCTCCTGTTCTCTCTCCTGTTCTGGGAGATGAGATCCCCTGGGATAGCACTCCCCTGCTTTGCCCCATCTGAGTCGAACTGCAGCTTTCCATGTCACTGTCCTGGTGCAGGGTTGTGCTGGCTGGAAAGATAAATGGCTGAAGTGGCAAACATTTCTCTAGGGAAGCTGCTTCCATCATCTCAATGTCCCAACACCATTGCTGATGTGTCTTTTTGGTATTACTGTCCTCTGAGAGAAAGCTGATAGGATTTGGTGGCAGTTTCTGTGGAATTCTGACATCTCTGTGGTTAAAAGACTTCCTCTGCATGTTAGAAACCTTCTTCTGAATGTTGCTCACTCTCCTGAAGTGTTCTGTGCTGTAAACCTTTATCATAACAAGGCTGGGATAGTTCATTCTTCCGGGGTGGGGGGTACAGTTTAGTACATATGTTTTACACCTAAATAAAGAAGGCTAAACCTTGCAAAATTGTTTTGGACCAGGGAAGTTAGCAGTGAATTTCAGTGAGGTGGCTTAATGGAATGTACCATTTTGCAGGTCATTTTAGTGGTGTTTAATTTACTGTGATGACTTGTGCACAGAGATTTGAGTATTTACACAGGAGCCTGGATGCTACATAATAGAAATCTGTGTGGTTGCAAGCCAGTAATAAATTTGGCAGGCAAAGTGTTTGTTGTCATGTGAAGGCATATTTGTAATAATTTCAACACTAATCCTGGGATTTTATTTGAAATTGGTGCTCCTTGCCCCAGGAATGAGACACGAAGGTGACAAAGAAGTCTCAAGCCTGTTTACAAAAGCTGTTCAAGCACTTGAGTGCCCAAGCATTTGGTCTCTCAGTGATGATCAGGTTTTCTATCTGGGTTAATACTGTCCTTTGTCCCCTGACAATTACTGTTTCATCAGAAGCATTGAGACGAACACATTTGTGGCAGGTTAACCTTCACTAGGGAGGTTTCCTGAGTCCAAGGTGATTGATGAGTGGTGGCTGTTGGGAACAGGAAGGAAAGAGCCCAGGGGATCCAGACCTTCCCCTGGTCAATGGAGACCTGAAATGAATCTTCTATATCCCAGATATATCCACTGACAACTGACTTGCTGGACCCACTTTCTGCATGTCCAAGGGCTGTTGCTTCCCATCTTGTCCTATCCTTAGGCTTCAAACTCACATTCCTGCTCTCAGATCTTCCAGTGGTGTGGGGGGATGTTGTGTCCAACCAACGATGCCCCAGTGTTAATGACATCCAAACCAAAACCAGAACAGCATTGATTAACAGCAGCTGATTTGTCTCAGGGTCAAGCAAAACTTCTGTCAACAACTTGAAAAAAAAGATCAGGTCAAACCTAAAACAAGCCAGCCTGTCTGGAAAACAATTTTCTGCCTCTCTAATAGCCTGGAAAAATATTTTTTCATCTCAGCTGCATTTTTGAGTTGCATTTTATGTAGCTGCTCATGTAACTCCACATGAAGATGAATGAGCCCAGATGTGATTTGAACGTCTAATTCCTCTCCTCACCCCCCACCCTGTGTTTTTTCCAGCCCCATGCTAAGACAGTCTCTGATTTCACAGGCAAACAAAAGAATGGAATGAGCATTTCCTAGGTGATGACAAATTCTAATTAAGTGTTAAAGTTATTGCTTAGACTATTAGCTCTTAAGAGCTTAAGAGAGGGATCCTGCTTTTGGTTTTGGTTATAGACCCTGAGTTCAAAAGGGTACTGAGGCTGCTATGTGCCATCACACTAACATTTGTTCAAACTGTGCAGTGGCTGAAGCACAAAACCTCAGCACTGACCTTTGCTTTGTACACACAGGTGAAGGATGTGGTGGGTTATGATGCTCTGGGCCATTGCTTTTTCACGGAGGATGGACCAGAGGAACGCAACACGTTTGACCACTGCCTTGGGCTGCTGGTGAAGCCCAGCACGCTGCTCCCCTCCGACCGTGACAGCAGGATGTGCAAGCTGATCACAGAGGGAGCCTACCCAGGCTACATCCCTAAGCCCAGGCAGGACTGCAGGTGAGTGGGAGCCTTCCTTGTCTCTTCCTTCTCCTTGCAGGACTTAGTCATAACAGACAGCATCCTGTGTATGTGCTTATGTAGACATCTGTAGGGGTCTGGGCTGTTTGCCCCAAATTTGGGAGGGCAGTTTCCTTGGGGTCTTTATCCTTGTGCTGTTCAGGTGCCTACAGACCTAGGGTGAACTTTTAACTTTTTGCATAAAGTCCATTGAGATGGTTCCCACCTAAAACATTGTAAATCTTTCTTCCAAAGTACACAGCCCTGCCTTGTGCCTTGTGGAGTCTTGAACCCGATGGCTCAGCAAAAGTTGCTGAATTCAGAATGGGCCACGTTCTGACATTTGTGTGCTCATCTCAAATGGCAGCTGATTTTGAAAAGGTTTCAGTATCATCCATTTTGTCCTCAGAACGAACTGAGGTTTTGTTCAAGCAAAGGTATTTTTAACTTTTCAGTTTGGCAAGGGAGAGAGAGGAATTAATGCAATGCTCTTTTCCCATCTGTGTTTGTTTATAAAATACGTCTAATGTGCCATTCTTAAAATAAGGGTTAATTAGCCATTGTGCTCATTTTCCACTGATAATTCATTTAATAGTCATAGGGATATATTTTGTGTGTGATTTTGAAGACTATTCCATGAACAAGCACTTTCTAGTGGAACAGTGTTATGGTACTTTGATCTGCCTTGTTTTCCTTTATAAAAGAATTCAAGGTCTGATCAGAAAAACAGCTCAACTTGTTTTGCACTGGGCTCATCCAGCCTGGAATGAGTACACCAACACTAATCCCAGTGCAGGGACAGGGGATGAGCACCAGCTGTAGCTCCATCAGCTTGGGAGAGGCAGACAGGGAGTTGCTGCTAGGAATTAAAACAATGGGATTGTGCCAAATGACACTGTAACCTGCCCAATCCATGTAGCTTTGAAGAATGGGATTAGGCTGAAATGTCCTTGCCCTTGCCTGTGCAGCAGGAGGTGGTCTATAAATAATCCAAATTTGTTTATTTCTAAGCCAGTCCCATGCCCAAAATAGAAAAATTTTGCTATGTTTTCATGATAAAGTCAGACAAACGGAAATGCATCAGCAAAATCAGTTGGCCTAAACTGTGAAGTCCCTCATGGCAAGGTTAAAATCGACATAAGAGTTCCATAGGTTCATATCCTGCAGAAGGGCAAATCTCACCCAGGAAATTTAGGAGCCAGCCTGCTGGCTCTAAGGGCTGGATGTTTCCCGTGCCTGTTGGTTAATGAATTCTGTATGTCACAGGATGGACAGTGATGGATGGGTTGATCTGTCCTCCTTGATGGGAATCTTTCAATTAAGAGTCTTTCATGTGCATTAGACAAATGGAATGCTTTTGTCCCAAAAGAAATGTGCAGGAGGGTGGGAGCAAATAAAGTTAATCAATCACAGCAGCTCTTGGAAAAGGCAGGTACAGGGCTACACTTGGAAAGCCCTTAATAGGCAATTCATTGGGTTCCTTGATTAAACAAGTCTCTAATGAACCCAAGGGCTTATGTGGGGGCAAAGTTCTTTTCTGTGACTTGTGCAACAACATATTTACCTTATCATAAAACGTGATTGACATCTGACAGCTTCATAGCAGGCTTGGAATTGCAGTTGAAATTCCTCATTTAATACATGGTATTTTAAAAGATAAGGCCATGTTCTCTGTCAAGCCACAGAGGACATGAGGTACGAGAAGAGAAAGAAAAAACACATTCCTCTTGTCCCTGGGCAGGACCCCTTATCTGGGGAGGTATCAGCCCTACCTGAACTGGGGGAGTTTATGGGTGACTCTGTTGTATGCTCAAAGTGTCATATTCGTATTATTCTTTGTTTTCCTGACCTGCAGTGCTGTATCCACCTTCTGGATAGCCAACCCACACAACAACCTCATAAACTGTGCAGCTGCTGGATCTGAAGTGAGTGCACAAGTTTCTTATTTGGTAACAGTTCAGGCCAGTGACAGCCCTGCAGGGCTGAGGGAGGCTCTCACTGGAATAAAACCTGGTTTTGTGACATAGACATTTTGGAAGCTGCTTGATTGAGACACACATTAATGTGGCTGGTGCCACCAATAAAAACAATGGTCTTACTTTTGCTCCACAGTTCTTGTCATTTGCTGTTTCTAGGGCTGGATTTAACAAAATTCCACAGTGTGCAGCCTGAATAAATTAAATAAATGTGACTGTGGAGTCACAGAGAAGCCTTTGGCAATGATATTGTTGATTGCAGTACAGTAGTGGTGCTCTGAAATTTCAGTCAGCCCTAATGCTAATTCCACAGGCATTTTTGGTCACACCAGGAGCCCTTATTTTCCTGGGAAGACATAAAAACAAGAAAATCAAGCCTAAAACAGAGAGATGTGATTTTTCCAAAGCTTCCAAATCTTGAGTACCTATATTGATAAATTTTTAAGCAACTAAATAAAAATTATTTGATTTTTAACTTTGGAAAGTCTCACTTACGCTTCAATATTGATGCCAAGACTTAATCTAAGGCGCCCTGAAGATCAGAAGGGTGAATGTCAAGTTCATGTGCATTAAACTCTGCTGCGGAGCGTTACGCGGTCAATGGTTGTGATTTGTCCTGAAATAATCTGGTGTTCATCTTGTGGCTTTCCTGAGCTCTCCTGGGGCTAGCAAAGTCTCAGAGGTCCTTCTCTCTCTCAGGAAACAGGATTTTGGTTTGTCCTGCACCACGTGCCCACAGGCCCCTCGGCAGGGATGTATTCCCCCGGCTACTCCGAGCACGTGCCGATGGGGAAATTCTCCAACAACCGCGCGCACTCCAACTACCGGGTGAGTCTGCACGCAACGGGAGCTGCCCTTGGAGCAAACACCTTCCCCTTGGAGCAAACACCTTCCCCTTGCTCCAGCTCCCTGGCCTGCAGGCTGTTAGTGCCTGTGCTTTGTGCTGCAGCCAGAGCCCTGCACGCTTGTTGTGTCTGCAGACAAGGCGGGAGCGCTCGGAGCCAGCCAGCACCTGCTCCGCTCGGCTCTTGGGCATCCAGAGCGGCTCTCCCCTCTGCTCAGGCTGCTCCCCTGCCTCTGTGCTCCTAAAATACTGCCTCCAGGAGCATCTGCTGGCAGCTTGTCTAATTATACTCCTCACCTGCCAATGCTGGCACTTAGCTGAACAGCTTCTGGAGGGATGAATACTGCCGCTGTGTCTAATCACCTTCTCTGCTTATTTACTCCTTAGCGTGCCGTGTTGTGGGGCTGTGTGCTACTGAGGGCTTTAGGCTGAAGCAGAAGGTTTAGGTGTGTGGGAATACATGCAATTATGAGGAAAGTGCAGCTTTGGAAATTTGCAGCAATTCTGGGGGATATATGCAAGTCTGGATAGTCCTGGCAGCTCTCTGTTTCACATGCTATTAATGGAAGCTGCTCCTAGCATCATGTGGGTGACTTGGGCTTAGATGAACTGGAGGCAGAGTCTGAACAAGGAAAGAGCTGTAAAATTTGTAAATATAGTGTGATAATTGCATTTCTGTTTTCCTTTAGGCTGGAATGATCATTGATAATGGCGTTAAAACCACCCCAGCCTCTGCCAAGGACAAGAGACCTATCCTGACACTGATTTCTGGGAGGTAAAGTGTTTTGCATAGTTTGATTTGGAAAAGACTTCTCTAAAGCACTGACTGAAAGCAATGAAATTGACCCAAGGAAGTTTACAAGAATCATTGCAATGATTCTTTGGGGTGGCTCTTTTTGAGGAAAAGTCTTCACTTTCCTTCCTGTCCAAGACACCCCTAGCCATTTCTGACTTAATCTCTCCATTCTCCTTTATAAGGGACCTCAGCACCCACACCCTTCTTGTTTCATCCTCATTCTTTAGCTCTGAACTGAGCTGGCGTGGGTATTACATCTGTCTAGGGTGTTCCATTTATTTTTGAATTTTTTAGATAAGGAAGAAAATTCACTGCCTGGTCAACAGTCACTCAGGTCAGAACTTGCTGCAAGAGTTTCTTAGGAATAAGAAACTTAAGTATTTCTTGGGAATGCTATTGATTTTGTTCATTCTTCTAGAACCTGCTTGAACAGGGAGTGCTTATGTCATGGAGCTCATGCTTTGATTTCAGATTTCAGTCTAGTTCCAAATCTGACACTGCAGTAACAATCACAATTAAATGCACAGAGCAATCCTTCATTTCTGCTGCTGTGCAGAGCCTCTCTGTGGTGTAATGATTTAGAAATAATGGAAACCTCTCTATAGACTGTATGGTATCAGCTGTGGCCTGGTGGATTCTGAGAGCCCACTCTTTCCCCACAGCTGGCCCCAGAGGAGGCTGATGAAAGGGCTGCACTTGCACCCTTGTATCTCATTAGAGGTTGACTCTAGCTCTTAGTTGCCAACCCCCAGACATGTAAAAGGACTTAAATGGTCTCAAATTTCATAGTTTCTTTCCTAACACACCAATTGCCTCCAGTTGCACCCTAACCTACATTCCCCTACAACTGCATTTCTTGACAGAAGAAACTATGTAAGGAAGAGAAACCTGCTGAAAGCCTCTGCCCAGCAGGGGAGAATGACAACTTTATCTCCTTCTAGTCTCTGGGGGTGTGGGTTACCCAGACTGCAGTAGTCATGCTCTGGGCAAGCATTACAGGGATCCATCTTCCTCCCCAGGAGAGCCCAGCCAGGAGCTCAGATATCAGCTGTCCACATCACCCCAACGCCCTGGCTAGCAGCTGATGCTGAAAGATGTTCAAAAGTGAATGGTATTTACATTATTTCAATGCTCAGTTAATTGAAGAGATTAATTCAATGGTAAAAGTAGCTGCTGAAAAAATAACTTTAGAGCAGCCTGCTTTAGGGAGCCTGATGCTGCTTTTCCATGCAGCTGAACACGTGCCTTGGGGAGCTGCCTGCTGCCACAGGCGCAGTTAGTGGTTACCAAAAGCAATTTCTCCCTTGCCATACAAGGACAGGAATGGTCCTTGGAAGCCAAACAATTCATAATGCACTCATGGTTGTGCTCAGGGCTTGTCCACCAGCACAAACTGCAGCTCAGATTATTCCATTTTCCACTTTTCATGTGTCAAGACTGAACTGAATAAATGACTGAAGTTGGGCTGGCTGGAGCAGACTGTGAGCTAGGCTGGACAGTGACAGAGTTGGAGAGATTATTCTGCATTCTGTTACAGCATTAAATGTCCAAATCAAATTCTGAACCCTGTAGCATTCCTCCAGTTATCATGGATGTGAATGAAATTGGAATCCTTCACAAAGTATCTGTACTTAATAATGCCAGGGGAATTCACAAGAGCTGATACTAAATCTGTCTCTGAAAGTAAATTCACAGTGATGAAGCTGCCAAAGCAATATTCATTTATTGGAACCCTATCAGCCTGATGCTCAGTTTTAGATTGATATGATGGCTTATTAAGCAAAGCAAAGTGCTATTGAATATCTGTTAGCAATTTGACAGCTTGGCCTCGCTATCCATGGTGAGGAATGAATTTTAATCTCTGGACCATCCGTTGCTGGCACTGAGTTGGATACTCATCTGTCAGGTTTTCTAAGCTGTGTAGTGTGATGGAGGATGCTCCTCCAGCAGCAGAAAGGAGCGTGGTGCCTCAGGACAGGGTAAATGACAGCCAAGCTCAGCATCACCTCGCTCAGATCCTGTGGCCCAAGCAGTGGCTGTCAGGGAGCAGCCGAGGGCACACATTACTGCAGTTTCTGCTTCTGTCTGCTTTTTTTTTCACCGAATCAGGCCAATATTTAATCATACTGAGAACTTCAGGGTTAATAAATCTTGTACGTGTGTCCTGTGTAGTGGGAGTAGTGAAGGACATACTCTCAGCCCCCCTCCAAGATTTTTTAATTCCATTCCACAGCAAGAAAAATTTGGCAGTGGTACTCATGGCCACAGTATAGCCAGAGTTGGGAGATAAGAATGCTCAAAAGGGAAAACAAAAGGATATTTATCTAAATAACAGGAACACGCTAAAGGATAGCAGTAAGGGATTAAAAAATTCCCTGGAACTATTGGGAGCAATAATAAACTTTCCATGCTTTCAGCAATATTTCAGCAATACAACACCAGAAAGGTGAAAGGGAACTTGGAGCAGGTCTTTCCAACTGCCGTGCCTGGACCTTCCTTGCCTTGGCAGCTGGGTCTGGCCATCACAGCTTGAGCAGACACGCTACGTGGATGGACTGTGGTCCCAGAGCTGTTCCTGAGTTACCATGGACCAGATGTTTAGCAGGGCCATGCAGGCAGCAAGGCCACCTTCCTTCCCTCACCAGCCTTTCCTCTCTCCTGGCTGCAGGTACAGCCCACACAAGGATGCTGATCCTTTGAAGCCCAGGGAACCTGCAATAATCGAGCGCTTTATTGCCTACAAGAATCAGGATCACGGGGCCTGGCTGCGAGGTGGAGATGTGTGGCTGGACAACTGCCAGTGAGTTTTGCCTTATTTCAACTCTCAGAGTTCAGCCTGGTGTTTATGGCGAGCATAGCTGTGGTTCAGACTATTTATATCGCTTTGCACCTTTCATATGGCCAAGATGGAAATGAAGATGAAATGTTAAGCCACCACAGGCATTATTTTACACAAACAAAACCTGCTTTGTCTGAGCTGAGGATCCCTCAGGTTGTTTCTCTGTGTGATGCTGACCAGCATTCATAAATGGTCACAATGCACACACAGGGATACACAGATGCAAATAACTAAAACCTTTTTAAAAAAAAAAAACATGAAAAATTAGGTGCTTTGAAAAGAAAACAGTGAAATGCACCACCTTTCCTGGCTCAGCCTGGTCACAGATCAGTTTTATGTGGTTCAGTGTAATGCTGAATAAGCAGGTACTGATGAAGCAGACATAAAACTATGCATCACAGCAGCAAGGGAGAGAGTCTGGGCAAGTGCGTGTTGTGCTCTTTGAAGGCCATTTCCTGTGCTGGCCAGAGCAGATATTTGTTTTGCACTTGAAAACGGATGATCTGCTGCAGTTTCTGTTTCTGAGCCAGGCTCCTGATATCAATCCTAGCAAAGAGGAGAAAAAGGAAAAAGCCCCTTTCCGAGGCATATTGTGATAACCCTGGTGGGAATGGTGATATCTGGTGTCCAATTCCCAGCCAATTCCAATCTGGTATCCAATTCCCAGAGCTGCCTTACCTTCGTGTGACCCAAACCTCTCAAAACACCCAGTGGGATAAGCTGCCAATGGTGACCTGGTGAGAATGGGGCTGTGGCAGAACACTCAGAAATGTCACATTGAGCAATAGAGTTTGTGTTTCTTATGACCCACGAGAATCCACGGCCAGCAAATGTTTCCTCACAGATCCCACTCGGGTCACTGGGACATTTTCATTGCTGATGGAGCAAAGGCAGTGTGGAGGGTGCTCCAACACCAAATGCTTTATGAGTTTCCAGCAGCAAATCTCTGAGTGGGTGTGGATTGGAGGAAGCAGCCATCAAGCTGTAATTGTCTTTATAGCCAGAGCCATTTTCATTTCTATTGCTACAGAAAGACTTATGTATCCTATTAACAGGGCCAGCGCTAATGTGGCCTGAAGGGAAGCAAGGAGGAGATAGGGAGGGAAGGGCTGCCACCTACAGACAGCAGCACATGAGGGGATCTGCTCCCAAACCACTGCCAGGACCAGTGACAGACGTGGGAAGTGATGCCTGTGGGAAGACACCATCAGGACTGACTCAAACTATCAATTCATTGTGGCATTTCCCTAAGCAGGAGTCAAGGACCAACATCTGTTATTTATCTTACCTTGAAACTTCAGCAAAATAGAAAGATATTCTAATTTTTGTTTTTATTTTTAAAAAGGGAGTTCTGATCTCTGTATTCCTGTTGTGGAAAGAGAAGCCAAGCTGCTCTTTTTTTATCCCTAAGCAAAGCTCTTTTATGGAAGCAGTTTGTGAAACATGAAGACAGGGAAGCGCAGTGTGTAAGGCAAAGCACCATTAAATAATAAAAGCTGGTTAGAGTGGGAGATATGCAAGATTTTTTTTATCTATCAGAGAAAAGTATGTGATCATTAGACAAAGGGATAAATCTTTATCAGGCAAGTAAACTATGGCTAGTAATCACCATCTTAACCCCAGCTGGAGCAATCAGGTGTGTGTCTGCTGCTTCATGTGATCTGTATATTCTGCAAGATGTGCCAAAAGAGAGCTTCTAAAACTGGACAGGAAACAAGTCTGGAAAAACCCGAGTTCCCCCTGAGCGCTGTGCAGTAATCAGTCCCTGCTGTCCTCCACTAGATTTTTTCTTGTTAGAGTTTGACATGACAAACCAAAGCAGCCCCAGATCTCTTCTGAAGCATCTCCCTTCTCTTGGCAGGTTTGCTGACAATGGCATTGGGCTGACCTTGGCCAGGTAAGTGTGGCACAGGGTGTGTGTCACAGGGTGTGTGACACAGGGTGTGTGACACAGGGTGTGTGGCACAGGGTGTGTGACACAGGGTGTGTGACACAGGGTGTGTGACACAGGGTGTGTGGCACAGGCTGGGCATGCTGCTGGGACTGGGTGTGAGCAGCCCTTTCACCTCCAGCCTTTCTTCCAGTGGTGGGACCTTCCCTCACGATGATGGCTCCAAGCAGGAGATCAAGAACAGCCTGTTTGTTGGTGAGAGTGGGAACCTGGGCACCGAGACGATGGACAATGAGATCTGGGGGCCTGGAGGTCTGGACCACAGGGGAAGGACGCTGCCCATCGGCCCGTAAGTGAGCTCAGCACATCACAGCACTCACAGCTCCTGCTCCCAGCCCCTGTGGTTTCCTCAGCACTGTTCAGTTCCATGACCATTACACAGAAAGGATTCCATTTCATGTCTCCCAATCCCACAGCCCTCACTGTGCAGCTGCTGCTGGCAGGTACATCTTTGCAGGCTGCCAAGACAGATCAAGCTCCTCTTTCCTTCCCCCTTCCCTTTTCACGGGGATTTGAGAGGACAGCAAGAGCACTCTGCTAGCAGGGCACCTCTGTAGGTGTGATCAGCAATGAGCTGAGCTCCATCAGCTGCCAGGAGGGCTCATAGCAGCCCCTTCCTAGGCTTGCATGTGATCACAGGTGTGCTCAGTGCTGCTCTTACTGGTGCTCCTGCAAAGGACTTTGATGCCCTTGTTCAGCAGTTTTGAACTTCATGGGTGGCCTCTTCCTAGACCTTAATTCTACAGATTGGTTTGCAAGGGCAATGCTTTTGCTTCCCAAAAACACAGTTATCCTAACAGTAGCCCCTCAGTGAGCAAACAGCTCAGCTGATGCTTTTCTGCCATACTGCAGGACTCAATTTTGCTGTCAGCAGTGATGCTGGAGGCTTATTATAAACTATACCAATAATGAAAAGCCATTCTGCTATGACTCTCCTAATATCCTTTACATGTATATATATGTGGACATAACTCATCTTGGATGTTGTATGCAGAAACTCAGAACAAATGCACTGAAGCAGGGAGGAATTCTCTAAGGGATATTATGAGGAAGGGATCAAATTTATGTATCATAAGTGAAATTTGAAATGTCTTATCTTAGCCTCTTATAGACCTTAAGCATCTTGTTCATTTAATTGGTGTGAAAATGGTGTCTTCTTTACCTTGCAGATGATATCAGAAAAGGCTGATAAAGATTAATTAATCTGTCCCTTCAACTCTTCTTAGCTCTATCCATTGTAGGACCTTTCCTTGTTTTCAAAACCATTTTTTTTATCACAGTTGATTTGCAATGCTTCTCTCCAAATCCTTTTGAAAGATGTGGTGGGACTTCTTTTAGCCCTGCCATTACTCAGCCCAAGGAGTCTGCACAGCTCTGCTGAGTTTCATGTTTCACTGCTGCAGAACTCATTTCTGATGGCAAACATGAATTTATTCATCTTTAGGTCAATCCTTTGGCATTGCTGTTACTTCCTTCCCTGGAGAAGTACAGACTAAATAAAGATGATCTGTTCAACACGAGAGAATTTGAGCTGAACTTGCAAGGATAAGAACTTTACAGAGCTGGAAGGAAGGGAAATCCCTTCTCTTCCAAAGCAGGAACTTAGGAGTCATCCTTTGGGCCGCAAGAAACGAAAGCAGCCACGAAACAAGCGCTGGGGGGCCGTGCGTGCCTAGAACACATCTCCTCCCCATGCTGAGGTGTCATGACCAAGTCTCTCTGTCTCCTCTGGCTGTGTTTCAGGGATTTTCCCATCCGAGGGATTCAGTTCTACGACGGGCCCATCAACGTCCAGAACTGCACGTTCCGCAAGTTCGCGGCGCTGGACGGGCGGCACACGAGCGCGCTCGCCTTCCGCCTCAACAACGCCTGGCAGAGCTGCCCCAACAACAACGTCACTGACATCCACTTCCAGGATGTCCCCGTGAGTCACCACCCTCCCCAGAAAGCCCCCCTGAACGCCTTGGGAATGGGGTTGTGGGTGAAAAAGGGGAAAATAGAAGATCTCGCCAGTTGTCTTTGCCTGAAGTGTAAGGACAGAAGAGAAGGAGGAAATATCCATCATATTTCAGTATGCAATAACAAGAAAATTGTCTGTCAGGTTTGCAGCAAAACAGAGGAAGGCATCAGTAGAAAAAAAAAGATAGCAGTGTTGAAGTGAAAATAATTTCCATTTCTGTATGACTCAGAAACTGAAGAATCAGCCCCCCCTTTATTTTCATCAGTGGTATAATATTAAAGCAACAGAAGGAAGTCTGTTCTGAAAGGCCTGACTGACCTCGAAGCAGAAAATACTGATTTTGGGGAACAGCCAGTGAAACTGAGCTGATGCAGGATAATTCTGCAGCCCTGCACACCAGGGTAATTCCAGACTCCAGTTCTGCAGACATAAATGAGAGCAGAGTCCAGCCAAAAGGAGTTTGCCAAATTTTGAATTACAGTATGAACCTCTAGGTGCTGGTCTGAACCCGTCCTGGGGCCTGTTCTTTTGAGTTATTTTTGTATTTGCCTGCACAAATATGTGCTAACTGTTTCACTGAGGTTCACCTTTAGCAGCTGTTAAATCCAGCTGCCAAACATTACAAACAAACAAATAAATAAAGTGGTTGGGCTGAAATGATTTGTGTTGCCTAATTTTCAAAAAATTAGCAGGCTTGCTCACAGGTCAGAAAAGTGCTGACCAGTGCCAAATATGATGGGAAAGGCAAAATTCCCCTGAAAGTGTTGGTTGGTCACTCTCACATTGCACGAGGCAGGCTGGTGACATGGCATTTATTTATGCTGGATAAAAATATCAGTCAGAAGTTGCCTGAGCAGCCATTTCCCAGGGCTGACTATTTCCCATATGGGTATGACTTCATGTGGCTTGGAACTTTGAAACTGTGTTAGCAAACAATAAGCGAAGTGGCTCTCATGGAATTGTTTCCTGAACCTTTCTCCACAATTTTAAAGCAAACCTTCCCACTGGTGAGGATGAAATTGTGGGTTTTTTAGCCTTTCCCCCATGGTCAGCAGGGAAATGTGTGTCTGCTCTGCCTGACAAGTCAAACACACCATTTAAGTCAGAAAATGGGTAATTTGAGCCACTGTAGTGACCAAGGGCATTCTTTTCTTGTACTCTAAGTGATGAATTCCTTTCTGGAGATGTAAATATGTTCCACTGTTTTATTTAGATTACTTCAAGAGTCTTCTTTGGAGAACCTGGCCCATGGTTCAATGATCTGGATATGGATGGTGACAAAACATCAGTTTTTCATGATGTGGATGGTTCTGTGTCAGAATATCCAGGCTCCTACCTGATCAAGGAAGATAACTGGTTAATCAAACACCCTGACTGCATTGATGTGCCCGACTGGAGAGGCTCCATCTGCAGTGGACACTTTGCACAGGTAAGGCTGCTTGCCTTGCAGTATTGTTAGCACTTTGGTTTGCTTTAAATTTCTTGGCACTTTAAAGCTTGACCTGTAGAAATGGGCTTTCTTCACAGTGCTCAGTGTTTATTTATCAGCAGGTCTGCACAGGTGGCTTTGAGCATAAGAAATACTGTGGTGCATTTTCTGGAACCTTGGCCTTGGCTGCTGACAGCTCCAACAACTTCTGCCTGAATCCTCCTGAGAGCTCCATGGGCATTCACAGATTAATATTTATAAATCCATGGGCTGTCAGCTAGTTATTTTTCCCTGATTTATGGAGGGAAGTGCTGCCCACAGTGTTATGGGAAATGTGCTGATGAGTTGAAATTAGACTTCAGCTTTCATGGTCTTTCATCCTGTGTGTGACCACCAAACCACTCTTCCCACCACAGGAGCCTTGAGTGCTGCTGCCACGAGAGTCCTCACTTTCCTCTGCCTGGTTTTGTCTTGGGTGTTGCAACAGATGGGGGTTTTTGTGTGTAGTGTCACTACAGCCAATTTCTAACCACTGAGCTGGGTTTCAGGCTTCTGAAATCCAGACAGAAGGATCCTTGTTCAGCACAAGTCAGATGTCTGAGGTAGATACTGTCCTGCTGCTGAGGGTTGCAGGATGCTGTGGAATATCTCAGCCCTGCTGCAGCCTTTGGCACATGCAATTGAACTCAGTGCATGAGGAAATGAGCTTGGTTTTGTTTTTTTTCCCCCCTGGAAACAGTTTGCTTTGTTGAAATGGAAGTCTAAGGAATTGAATGTAAGTGCACAGCCCACAGGTCCCTGCCCAGCACACAGGACTTGCACTAGCTCACTTCTATTGAGTATCTGAACCTTTTGCTGTAGTTCATTAAACCCTTGCTGATTTTTTTTTGCGGTTGTTTTTTATTGTTTTCCCATCTAGATATACATCCAAGCCTACAAGCCAGCCAACCTGAAAATGAAAATAATAAAAAATGACTACCACAATCACCCACTCTACTTGGAAGGGGCTTTGAGCAAAAGCACTCATTACCAGCAGTATCAGCCAGTTGTAACTCTTAGGAAAGGCTACACCATCCACTGGGACAAGACAGCCCCTGAAGAGCTGGCCATATGGCTCATCAACTTCAACAAGTGAGTGAACTGAATCCCAGCATTCCAGGACAATCATGTAGCTGCACATTTTTACTGGGTGAGGTCATCACCTCATGAGCTCTTCCAGAATGAACATGCCTGCTACAGGAAGTCCATTGAGTTCACCATCTCTTCATGAGCCATCTCAGGTTCCTGTTTCCTCCCCCAGGAAGCCCTGTAAGATAACACAGTCCATTTTTGGAAGTTCAGAGCTAATTCATTCCTGGTGCATGAAAGTCACAGGTGTAGAAGTCAGGAGCAGATCTGCCCTACATTGCTTAACTCACCCATGGTTATGTCTAATTTATTTTGCATTGATCCATTCTAAACCATGAAAATTTTAACTGGACAGGAAAAAATTTATTGTAAATTATTTAGTTTGGCTTCTGGCAGGCCCAGGAAAATAATAGCTGTGTTATAACTTGTTACAATGTGTGTCTTTGCTATTTTTAGGAATGACTGGATCCAAGTAGGGTTTTGCTATCCTAAAGGGACGACGTTTTCCATTCTCTCAGACATCCACAACCGTCTCTTGAAGAAAACATACAAAACTGGAACCTTCTACAGAACCTCCCAAATGGAGAAACTGGAGCACAGATATCCTACCAAAGGCTATTACTACTGGGATGAGGACACTGGGTAAGACAGCAGGCCGTGCTGGTTTGGACATTGCTTTGGGAATGCTGCTGGAATTGTGACCAGTTTGGCTAATGCCGCTAGTGAAGGTCAGGGAGATTTTCTGGGAATGTGACCAGTGTTTAATTTTCCTGGGACTCCCAGGCCTGCCAGTCATTCACAGCCTCTGTTGCACTGCCAATTACTCTGGGAAATTATTTTCCAAGTGTATACAAATTAGAAAAAAAAAAAAAGAAAGAAGGACAAAAGTGCAGACCATGAAACTTAACTGAAAACATGCACAGCCCTTATTGTTTTGAACAACTATTTATAAACACCAAGACAGGGATGCACAGGAACTAAGTGTAAAGCCTGTTATTTCAAAGGATTAAAATAATGGGAAAGAAAGAAAGAAAGAAAGACCTAAAATACAAAGCATGTATTTCTACATTTATGTATCACTATAGCAAAGAGCTCAGAAGGTGTTCAGGTGCTATCTGATCTCTCTGTTTTACTTTCCATGAGCTCCCTAAACCATTTCTGAGATGAGTGTTCCCTTTTATTTGCTTGTGGGATGTTGGGCACTATAAAACACGACACCAAGGGCAGCAATGAAAATTATTGCAAAGCATAGAGTCCACCAAAACTCAGTATGTTTTTGCACAAAAAGTTTGAAGAATGCTGTTTTGTTTTTTTTTTCTCCTGCCTGCAGGCTGCTGTTCCTGAAACTCAAAGCTCAAAATGAGAAGGAGAAATTTGCTTTCTGCTCTGTAAAGGGCTGTGAGAGAATAAGAATCAAAGCTGTGATCCCAAAGACAGCTGGTGTCAGCGACTGTGAGGCCACAGCTTACCCCAAGTACATCGAGACACCAATAGTGGAAGTGCCAATGCCAAAGAAGCTCTCTAGTGCACAACTGGTAAAGCAGCTGATTTCTTATCACAGAATCATTGCTCGTGTAAATCTGGCACCTATTGTGCCCACAGACATAGAAAAACTTTGTGCCAGGGTCAGGAGATGCTGTGCCTGATTTTCTGAGATGGTTCAGGCAGGTGAAATAATATGAAACAGATTCTTGCAATGTGCAGAGAGCCTTTGCAAGCTGTGTACTTGGTCTTTTGGGGCTCTGATGTGACATGCTGTTCTTGAAAGCACAGGGTGAAAACTGATGAGCTGGAAGACAGCTTGGTCCAGTGAATGTGATTTAGGAGCCTCCAGCTCCTCCAGGCTGTAAGAACAGCAGTGACAGTCAGGGGACTGAATGGTGGAGTTGAATTATTCTCATTTATATAACACATAACACAATCTCCCGTGCCCAGTTTGGTTCTGGGGCAGGAAATGTGGTATTTATACTTTATTTGGGTTTTTTCAGTCATCACCCTTGAAACAGGAATACACAGCAAAGCCTCAGAGAATTGTGTGTCAGTTCTGCAAAGCAAGAATCACTCTGCCATTCAGTGAGACAATTCTCCTGGTGACAGGATGAGCAGAGGGGTTACCGTTGTGCCCAGTTTCGTTAGCAATTTAATTTAGCAAGTCAGTGCTTATTATGTAGCTCCCTTGTTGATTGAATTTCAAGGTTTGAAATGTTTTCATTGAAAATGCAGCATTGAGGTAATGGACATTCTCACTAGAAAACTTCTTTTATTTCGTTTTGCAAACAGAAGACCAAGGACCACCTAATAGAAGTGAAAATAGAAACTTACAAGAAGCAGTACTTCCACCTGAGGGATGACTTTGCATACATTGAGGTGAGCAAATCCTCTCAACAAACTTAATGGGGTGCAATTCTACACCACTTGCTTTATCTTCATGGAAAACTTGCTTACAAAGTTACCATGGCGAGTTAAATTCAAGTAATTTCTACTTTGTATTTTGGGGAAGCAAAAAAAAAAAAGGCTGTATCTTCTCCTGCTAGGCAGGATAGCAGGACCTCAGAGACCTGGGATTCTGCCCTTTGAAGCAAACATCAGTCCCATGACTCAAGACCATCAGTGCTTCTTACAGGTGGTTGTTTGCAATTGTGTTACTGTGAGAAATCAAGAATATTTTTCCCCCTGCCCAGGTCGAGGGTGTCAGGTTTTTCCTCACTGAAGAGGGTATCCAACTGGTTGTGATTGATGGACACAATGGAAAAGTTGTTGATCGAGTTACATTCAAAAACTCCATTCTACAAGGAATCCCAGCACAGATAGAGAATTATGTCAACAACATCAAAGATCAGTGAGTAAATAATCTGTTCTCACTAAGGTGCAATGTACAAGAATGCTGCATAACACTCATCCTTTTCTTGGATTTTATCACCCAATATATGCAGACCAATACACCCAATGTATTTTTGTGCCTTATGGCTCCAAAGAGCCCAAATGTGTGCAGGACATGCAGGCAGCAGCAGGATGCACACTGTTTGATTCAGAGACTGATTGAGCCCCAGAAAATTTGCAGGACTGCATGTGATTAACAAACTGCAGAGCTACATTTATGTTGTGGGTTATAGACAAACTGCAGACTTAAATTCACAAAGCACTGATCTGTACAGATGTGCACAGCTTGCACTTTTTTACTGCATGTATGTTTTCTCAAATTGCAGATAATTCCACTAATAAAATACATTCCCCTGCCCAGACATAAAGGCTGGGTTATATTGTATTTTAAGTTTGGGCAGCCAAGAACGCAGAGTTTTGGAAATAGGTGCTAAGTAGCCAAAAGATGTTCCTGTGTCATTGGCTTCTTCTGCTGGAGGGAGAATTGGAACCACATCAGAAAACCATTCACTAAAGGGGTTGTTCCCACATTAGCTTGTGGAGAGGTTGTGGGAAGTGAATATATTTAATTGTCATTTAATCTGTTTGGATTTGAAATCTGGTGTATAACATTTAATACAAATATGAGTGCTTTGTTGACAAATCATCTGAAATAGCTGTGGGCAGATTGACAAGATGTTGTTCTGGCATTTACTCTGGAGACCTGGGGGAAGCTTGAGCAGTGCCATGCAGGTGCAGTCAGATGTGTTTCTATTGTCTTAAAAAATTCTAGTGGTTTCAAAAATCAAATTACATAGTTACTTCAGGGAAGCATGGTAATTTCTCACTTTTCTTTCATATAAAAAATAAGAAGTCTTTTTCAGAGAGGCCATCATCCTGCTTTACAAAAATCTCAATCCTGGCTAAATCCAGTTTCTGATCAGGAATAGTAGGAATAATATTAGCACACTTTTTAAACAGAAGCACATTGAAATGAAAAGCATCAGGCCAACAAAAGTCTCAGAGAAGTGAATTTCTTCAGGTTTAATCTGCTAATGAATAACAAGAAATTACTTGAGACTTGCTAAGTGCATCCCAGGGAAATGGGTGAGCAAAGCAGGATGGAGCTGTAGGTTGGAAACATTTAAATCATGCTAGAAAAGCATGTTCAAAAATAAAAAAAAAATGTGGCTTCTGTCTGCATTCTAATGGATTTTGCATGACTGGAAAAATAATTTATGACCAAACTGTTGGAAAGCATTGAAAAGCATTAAAGCTGAAGCCACTGTAGTTCATGGGTGTGTGAACACACAGGCAGGAGTCAGCAGTGCTCAGGACAAACAGGAGAGGAATGTCTTCTGACTCTTCATCCATTTACCCAGCTCTTTGTTTCCTTCAGCTCCATAGTGCTGGTGACGTCTAAAGGAAGGTTCATTTCAAGAGGACCATGGACTAAAGTACTGGAGAAACTTGGAGCAGGAGAGGGTTTTAGGTTAAAAGGTAACCAGATTTTAAAAACGTATTTCTAACCTCCCATTATTCCAGTGAAGGGACCTTTTATCTGCTTTTAAACTTCTCCTTGCTTGCTTCTATCAGCATGTGCTTAAACATCCTGGAAACAGTAATTTATTTATTCAGAAGGGTTGTATCCCCTGCAGCTTTGGGTAATATGCTACATTTAAAACTGTAAATAGAAAAAACACCCTGGCAGTTTTTCTTAGAAGTAAATAATTCAGGGAGGTTGATTTTCCAGATTAATTTTACATATAAAGACATTTTAATAATGGAAATATTGAGCCTTTTCACCCACTAAGTGCCCCAAACCAGGACTTTTTACTTGTCTGAACTTGTTTGTAGCTGGCTTTCCCTTGAAACATTCTGACTTGGTAGCACAAAG